CAGCCAGTGCTTCACTCTGGAGGTGCTGTTGGAATTTGAGGCAGGATTATTCTTCTTTGTGTGTCCTGTGTGGAGCAGATTCTTCCTCACTAAATACCAGTAATCCCTCCTCTGCTATTCCGTCAGCCATACTCTCCTCCCCACACCCCTTCCAGATGTCACCAGGATGGTGGGTATCAGGGGAGAGGAGTGGACATCCACTGGCACCTACCGTGAATTTTTTTTCCAGGCTAGAATCACTGTGGCCTTCCTCTAGGCGGTAGGCCTTCAGGCCTGCAAAGACTCATTTGTCTTTGTGTTTAAAAAGCCACAGATGGCATTCTCTGGAGAGAATTGTGGGTCTGCTTCTGAGACTTTCCTCCCAGGCATGACGGTGGCTTTTAGGCAACTCCTTGGATGATTTATCATTTTCACAAGAGCATATCGACCTTTCCCTTATCACATCTCTTACACGGAGAGCCTTACGGGCCAGTATTTAACAGACAGCATTGTCATAACATACTATCTCAAGCTCACTGTCAGCACTCAATAACATAGACAATGAAGAGATTGAAATTGTTAAAGATTTTGCTTACCTTCATTCAGTCATCAATTCAAATGGAGACTACAGCCAAGAAATCGAGAGAAGGCTGAGACTCGGAAAGGCAGCAATGAAAGAATTAGGAAAGATCATCCGGAGCAAAGATGTGTCATTAGAGACCAAGGCTAAGGTCATGCACACCCTTATATTCCCAATTACCATGTCTGGATGTGAAAGTTGCACCGTGAAGAAGGTTGATAGGGAAAAAAATGGATTCATTTGAAATACGGTGTTGGAGGAGGGCTCTATGGATACCCTGGACCGCCAGAAAGTGGTGTTCTAGAGCAAATTAAGCCTGAAGCATCGCTGGAGGCAAAAATGACAACACTGAAGCTGTCCTACTTTGGGTACATCATGAAAAGGCAGGGTTCTTTGGAAAAGGCAGTAATGCTGAGAAAAATAAAAGGCAGCAGGAAAAGAGGAGGACCAAATAGGAGATGGATTGACTCCATAAAAGAAGCCACAGGCATAGATCTACAGGAGCTGAGCAGGGCTGCTGAGGACATGGTGGACATCACTCTTTCATAGAGTTGCCAGGAGTCAGGGGTGACTCAATGGCACATAACACAGACACATCAAAAACACAGCGAAAAGTGAACACTGGTTGCCTCCGGAGAGGGGAATTGGGTGGCTGGGAAAGAAACTTATTTTTTACTGTATGTTCATTTGTACTTAAAAAATTTGACCTCTGGGCCACTCAAAAACAGAAATTAAATTATATAAAAAGAAACTAAGTAGAGAGAAGCAATGATTAGAGACGACAGGGGCAAATGCATTTCAAGTCTCCAGAGAGTTGAAATGTCCACTGGATCAGAGCAGCCCAGCAGAGCTCTCATCCTGATGGTTCTGGTTTATGTCCAGTGCCAAACTGTATTGAGTCCCTATTGAGGACTGATAGTAGTAGACCCAATCTTGTGAAACTGGTTGTGTCTACTCGGGAAAGTTGTTGAGGACCTTGTTTATATCACATCAATGTCTCCTTTGTGAAGTCCCTGGGGAGGCATTATTTAAGTTCGTCAGAATCCCATGAACCTGATGCTTTCTGGACACTGAGTTATGTAAATGATTAGCTGCTAGAAAGCACAAATGTGTGGTCCATACGCAGTGACCTCACAGGGCGGTCGTTTCAGTTTCATTCCCAACTCTTAAACTCTACTGTCCTTCTTCTTCTTTTGCTCCTGCATTTGATACATGATTTCCTGTTGTGCCCTCGACATTTCTGCAAGCCTTCCTTAAACTATTTCTGGAAAAGATAGGGGCTTAAACGAATAAACTCCTAGAAAATAGGGGGAAAAATCCCGACACTCTTCAGAAAATATCCTCTTTTTCTAGGACTTGTCTTTTTTTTTCTGGGCAATGAGAAAATGGTTCCTCTTGGCTGTTTTCTCTTGACTTTTCCATTCAGTCTGGGCGTTTATAAGTTTAAATCTAAATCAATGGTTCTCAACTAGAGGTGAGGAGAGCAGGGGGTGATTCTGCCTCTCAGGGGACTTTTGTGTCTGGAGTCATTTTTAGTTATCATGACTGCAGTGATGCTGCTGCTGTTGGCATCTAGTGGGTAGAGGCCAGAGATGCTGTTAAGCATCCTACAAGGCACAAGACAGCCCCCTACACACACACACACTGCCAACGAAGAATCGTCTGACCCACTATGTCAATAGTGCCGAGGTTGAGAAACCCTGGTCTAAATATACCTAACATGATCTTCTATAAAGCCTTAGTGTATTATCATGTTCCTAAATTAATAAAGTGACTTTAAATCAGAAAAGGGTACTATATGTATTAAATGTACTTAAAATGTCTCCTGTTTTTATACCATTCCCTCCTCCTTTACCCCATGTTTTCCTCCCTTACTCCATGGTTTTTTGTCCTTTGCTTAGACGCCAATGAGACTGTATGCTTGGGGAAAGGCTCTTTTTGGCCTAGCCCTCCAGGGGACATCTGCCGCCTCTTAGCTGGAGCTGGATCACCCCTGACTTGGGCCCATTGCCCCTGCTTCTGAAGTGATGTGGAATAAGGTGAGAAGGAACTGTCTGGAAAGGTTTTAGGACAGAGGTCAAAGATGTAGCCACCCAGCCTAGGTAGTGGAATTAGAAGGCCTGGGTGTCTTTTCCCCACATGGTTGGGATAGGAGCCCAAGCCCGGGGGCTGCCCTTGTAGGCTTCTGTCAGAAACATTTGCAGAACCATTGGTACCTCAGCAGAGCCCTGCAGACGGCTAAGGCTGACTGGCTAAGGCGGACTTACTCCACTCAGCTCAGGGTAAGTCGTGGCCACATGCTCTGCCCAGGAATAGGCACTTTAAACATTACCTTCAGAGGTGGCTCCATAGTGTAGTGATTAGCACATCTGCTTTACACTCAGAAGGTCCTGGGTTCATGCCCCAGGTGGAGCCATGGACCACACCCCAGGCGTGCCAGGCCCCCTCCTCAGTGTGCCAGGGGTGCCAGGCCCTGGGGGCAGTAGGCCCCGGTGCACACAGCGTGCACACAGCGAGCGTGTGGGAGGAGACGCCCCACCTTCAAAAATCCAGTGCTTAAGGGGAAATGGCAACATCCATAGGTCAGGAGTGGAAGTGGGGAGGGGGAATTAAAGAGGGGAAAAAAGATTAAAAGAAAAACAAAAAACATTGCCTTCAGGAGTGGCCTCCGGTCCTGGCCCTAAGGGCCTGTCCAGGACACAGAATGTGCTGACTCAGGCGATTAGTGGAAGCCAAGTGGCTGTGTGATTCCTGGACCCTTAACTAGGTCTCATCAGGAATCTTACCTGTGGGTGAGTGCGTGGGGTGCGTGCATGCGTACGTGCGTGTAGAAATGGCTGACAAGTCTCCATCTAGACTTTCTAGCTCAGGATTCAAGGGATACACAGGTTAGTCCTAAGGTGTGGCCTATTGGGTGTTTCAAACAGAAAGTCTGAAGTGTTTGCCCAGCTTCTTTAACTTGGTGGGAATTAAACTCTTTCTCTGCCGCAGTGGGTAGCAGCCCAAATTTCTGCTCAGCTTTCAGACCTCCAGCTCTTGCCTTCTGCTGGGCTCCTTGGAGAGTCCTCCCTGAATAGCTCAGCAGCCGGCCTAGGATTTGAGGGGAGTTTATATGCAGATTTGAAGGATTCCCCTTCTGAGGCCCCCTCCTTCATCCCAGGAAGCCCGCCTTCAATTTTCAGCTGCTCTGGAGTCCCAGACTCTGTCCTCTGACTCTTCAAGCCAATAAAGGCTGAGGCATTCTTGAGTTCCAGCTGTCCCTCGTCATTTAGACTGAAGCACGCCCTCAGGAAAAAATCCATTTAAATATAGATGGTCCCTTTCATTTAAAGGTTGAGTCTTTTCAGTTTCTGCATGCTTTGGGGGCACTTCTTAGTGCTTTCAGGTTGTTATTTTTCATATTTTGTTCAGAGTTTACAATTTTTACCTGTAGGAGGATTCACTTGATATGTACTACGCTGCCATTACTGGGCTACCACTTCACTTTCAACTTTTCTATATTTAAAGTGTGTCACTTTTACCTATATATTTATAGACAACTGAGGTAGGGAAGAAGATACAGTCATACGGGTGAAGCGCAGTGTGGAGAGTCAGTGCAGGTGGAGCTTACAGCAGAGCTGGCATCTCCGGGGTGGTCTTCACGAAAGGGGCCTTGGCAAGTCAGGCCGCGAAGTCTGGCCGGAGGAAGACTGTGGCAGCCTGGACACTGCTGAGCTAAGGGGAGGGACAGGCATGAACATGGCGTGAAGGGGACAGTGAGCAAACCAACTTTATCCTGGCTCGGGGAGGTCTGAGCAGGAAAGGTACACTTTCTGGGCAGACTCAACATGAAGAAACAGAGGCAGCCTGGGATGCCCTCGACCGCTAGGCATTGCCGAGTTGCCCTGTACTCTTCCGTGAAGGTTGTTTACTAAGGTGCTCCCAGAGCACTCCCCATTTCCTGTCCCTTCCTGTAGTCTGAGGCTGATTCCCAGGCTGGCTGAGAGCCCATGATCTCTGGAGAGGGAGACTAAGGGGGCGCCTTCCACAAAGGGGCAGCCGGAGTGGTGCCAGAAGCCAAACGGACGGGAGCCCTTGAGAGTTCCATTCAAAGAGGAAATAAAAACAACAGTGGAAGCATCTTTATTTAATATGGGTCAGCATCTCCCAGGCCCCAGGGACCTGACTCTTTCATTCCAGCACCCACTGTTGCATGTCCAGATTCTTTGAACCCAATCTTTTATCCCCTAAAGAACACACAATTGGCTTTGGGGCCACAAAGGGAGGTTTAGGCGGAGGCTTAGGGATCTCTAATCCCAAACTTTGTCCTTAGGAAGCTTAGGATCAGCACTGATCATTCAGGTAGCCCAAAAGTGGCTTTGGAGGAGGGGTTCTTGGTGGGGTGGGGGGAAGTGGGGGGAGGGTAATCTATAAGAGAGATCAAAAGGGGTGGGGGACATCCATGAGCAAGATGTCGGGGGAGGAGGAGTTTTATCTGTTCAAGAACATCTCCTCGGTGGGGCCGTGGGATGGGCCTCAGCACCATATCGCCCCTGTCTGGGCCTTCCACCTCCAGGCAGCCTTCATGGGCTTTGTCTTCTTTGTAGGGACGCCACTCAATGCCACAGTGCTTGTGGCCACACTGCGCTACAGAAAATTGCGGCAGCCACTCAATTATATTCTGGTCAATGTGTCCCTGGGAGGCTTCCTCTTCTGCATCTTCTCTGTCTTCACCGTCTTCATCGCCAGCTGTCAGGGATACTTCGTCTTTGGTCCCCACGTCTGTGCTTTGGAGGCCTTCCTGGGCTCTACAGCAGGTATTGCAGAAGGGGGGTCGGGGGGAGGCAAAGGACACTGTGCTAGGATTACAACCAGGGACCAGGCTGTTGGGTTAGAGCAGGTCCCTAAAAAGGGGTCTGGGGAAAAGAAGTTCGGTGCTCTTTTGGTACTGGGGTACAAAGTAGTCCAGACTAGAAGTTTGACCTAAACTCTCGGCTGAATCTAAACTCTACTCCGACCATCATGGGTTCAGTCCTGTCCCCACCGTGCTTGCCCCGCCCTGCCTGTATGCCACTCTGCCCGCCGGGCTGGCTGGGTTGTGTACCCTGTTACCCTCATGTTTCATCACAGGTCTGGTAACAGGCTGGTCACTGGCCTTCCTGGCCTTCGAGCGCTACGTTGTCATCTGTAAGCCCTTCGGCAATTTCCGCTTCAGCTCCAAGCACGCACTGATGGTGGTCCTGGCCACCTGGACTATTGGTATTGGAGTCTCCATCCCACCCTTCTTTGGCTGGAGCCGGTGAGAGCAGAGGGCAGTGATGCTGACTTAGCTAGGAGCTTAGGTTGGTGTGGGTATAAGGAGCTGAGTATGACCTTTGAGGCTTTGACCTCTACTTTTTAAATACCTGGTGGAGTAGATGAGGGAAGGGGCTATGGGAGACAAGTGCTAAAGTTTACTCTGTACTTGGAATTGCTATACCTTCTGGTGGACAAAAAACCCTCCCTGCCCACAGTCATTGGGCATCCTCTGGGTTCTAAGTGGCAAACACGGTCCAGGAATCTCATCTCCCACTCCACTAATCCTTGTGGTGAGCCCCTCAGTGAGCAGGTGCTTGTCCAGTGGGCGAGTGCTTCGTCCCTTACAGGTTCATCCCCGAGGGCCTGCAGTGTTCCTGTGGCCCCGACTGGTACACCGTGGGCACCAAATATCGCAGCGAGTACTATACCTGGTTCCTCTTCATCTTCTGCTTCATTGTGCCTCTGTCCCTCATCTGCTTCTCCTATTCTCAGCTGCTGGGGGCCCTCAGAGCTGTGAGTAGTTTTTGTGAGGCTCGGGGGTAAAGGTCAGGGGGCTCTAGGTGAAAGGGAAGAGTGTGTGTCCTAGAACATAAGATAGCTGGAAATGCCACAGCCAGGTAGAGGGGATCATCTGAAAGCAATGAAGGAAGTGGGGGCAGAAATGATGAAATGGAATGAATGATAAGGTGGTCACTCCTGCTCAAATATGGTTGTCAAGAGATGCATATGGTCCCTTCCAATGTCACAGGCCAGAGAGCTACCTCTATCCTGCCTTCCTCACAGGAGAGCCAGAGGGACTAGACCAGAAACTGGGGCAGAAGAGAGGCAATTGGAGCAGATGCCCCTTAGTAGAAAAGCATCCTGGGACTTGAGTTGGGGGCCAGGAGGAGGATGTGATGTTTTCTCTGTGCTCTGCCCAGGTTGCAGCCCAGCAGCAGGAGTCAGCTTCAACCCAGAAGGCTGAGAGGGAGGTGAGCCGCATGGTGGTGGTGATGGTGGGATCCTTTTGTCTCTGTTATGTGCCCTATGCTGCCCTGGCCATGTATATGGTCAACAACCGTAACCACGGGCTGGACTTAAGGCTTGTCACCATTCCTGCCTTCTTCTCCAAAAGCGCTTGTGTCTACAATCCCATCATCTACTGCTTCATGAATAAGCAGGTAAAGCTATTTACATTCCTATGGGACCCTAGTCCTTAAGACCTGATTCTTCTCAGCAGTGGCTTTTTTGTAACTTAGAGCACTCTGGACTCTACTTAAAGGGTTAGGGGTGAACAAGGGAAGCCAAAGAGATCCTTGGTAGGCTAGGAAGCCCTTGGTAAGCAACAGGGAGGATGGTGTGGTCATTGAGACAGGTAATAGAACTCAGGGAAGACAGAACTTGAGCCATAAAAATCGAGTTGCTTCAAAGGGCAGAATGACAAATGAAAAGGTTTTCTGTTTTGTTGAAAAATTGACAGATCGATAGTTCCCCTACATCTAATCCTTCCAATTCAAGAGTTCTTAATCCTTTTCCATCCAACTTCCAGCCTGCAGGAGCATATGTGAAGCACAGAAACCACAACACATGCATAAATCTCTAAACAGCTTATCATCTGGAGTTACCAGGTGGCCTCCTATCCCAAATCCTGACTCTGAGCTAAAAATAACCCCAAACTCAGATGTGTCTAGGAGAGTTCCTGTCATGTAGGGCCAACATTCTGCTTTGAGAATTAATAAATTATTTTGTTTCTTCAATCCCAGAGATGGAGTCAAGAGGAATGTGAAATCTCCTGGAATGGAAACGGAACTGACGGTCCTTTCCACGCTGGGAGCAGCACCTTCCTGCAATGGGGGTGGGTGGGTGGGCAGGCCTGCTCTGAGGCTGCTTTTGACAGTGCTCCTATGAGGCAGTCTATGTTTGTGAGGTTTCCCAACAAGTGCAGCCTCCAAGTTAGCCAGAATGTATAGGGATTATCATTGTAGACCAGGAGAAGCCCTAGACTGGAATCTAGCGCTCTCTCAAGATTAGGAAGATAAAACTCGAAACCACCTGAGATCCTGGGTATAAGGCATTGTTCGAGGCTTTGGAGATACAAAAGATCTTTTCCCCGCCCAGTTTTGGATGTCATCTCCTTTGTACCGGTCTGCTAAGGGGGCCATCTCCAATTCTATCTTCTCCCTCCAGTTCCAGGCCTGTATCATGGAGATGGTGTGTGGGAAGCCCATGACGGATGAGTCTGACATGTCCAGCTCCCAGAGAACGGAAGTTTCTACTCTCTCTTCCAGCCAAGTTGGCCCCAACTAAGATGCCATACTGGCCTATTTGCAGCAACTAGGATTTCTCATTTAAGGAAATTTCTTTCTCTGCTAACAACACAGAAAACAAGTGGGAAGGGGAGTGATGGCAATTTGGGGAGTCAACTTTCCATTTTCCTATTATTATCTTCCTACCTATAAAGCTACTGTTCCAGCTGGGTCCACCTGAACACCCCATAACCCATTTCAACAGTCATCAGTTTCCACTTCTAAGTGGCACTATTCACAGCACTTGGAGAACCCATCTTTACATACCAGGTACTATAAAGGGGTATGGCTGAGTTGTCAGTGTATGAATAACAAGTATTTTCCTTTCAGTAACATTTTTTTTTCCTGCTGGGGATGTTATGATATATTCTGAATTAGAATAAACTTAAGAAAACACCTTAGAAATAGGAGAGAGATAAAGACAAATAAAACCTTTAGTAGGCCCTAAATATGAGTTTAAAAGAATTTCTTTATGCTCTCTCTCCCAACAGTTGCTATAGCTTTGGCACGGGCAGCCATGTCCACAAGGCCCTGAGCCAGCATGAATCATTCCAGGTGTTTCCTCCCCCATCCCCCCATTAGGCAAACATATATATCTTTCTTAGGCTGTGTATTTACTTAACAGTTTAATTCCCTTCATGTTCTCAAAATTAATTTGAACATCTTAATAGCATTTATTAACACTGAAGTGTTCAAAAACCTGTTTTACGTTATACTTTTTACTCCCCTTCTTCACCCCCTGAAAAAGAGGCTTTTTGACATAAAAATCAAGATAAATGTTGCGTGTACATTAAGGAGTGGCTTGTGTTTAGTATCGGATAATTATGAAATGAGCAGTTATATGCCCTATGGGAAGAGGGAAGAGTTATAGCTGTGATGAGGATGTTTAGATTTCAAGGAAGAAAAGAGTAACCAATTTGAGAGACGGCAGCAACTTTCCAGGGTTGGGGCGGGGGTATGGTAAACCTTCTGAGAGAGCTCTTTTTTTGTGACATTTTGTAGCACCCATAATTCTAAGCAAGAGTTCCAATTCTTAAGAGAATAAAGGCCATACATACCGCACAACGAATGTAAACAGTTTTATTTAGAAACAGGTACCTGTTTGCATTATAGAATATAAAACTTGGTTTACACTCTATAAAAAATAATTGATATCCAAATTCAAGAGAGCTAGCGTTCACAGGACACACAATGTGGGTGTGCAGCTACTGTCCACCAGCCCCAAACTTGATTTAAACAAACAAAAAAAAGTAATAATAATACTCCATGGGGATCATTAGAGATTAGAGTACAATGCTTGCGGCTGAGCACCCAGTATCCAGAAGGGGCTGTCTTAGCAGATGAAGGTTTGCTTTCTAAGTGCGTGACTTTAACATAAGGCCTGGGCTCTCTGCCCCTAGCGAGCTGCAAGGCTCTCCTGCCAGTCATGATGTGCTCTAAGCCAGGGTTAATGACATTATTAGTTATCTCTGGTCTTAATGATAAAAATGGAGAATCTGGAGGGCAGAGAATTTCCATTCCCCCTAAACTGGGGTTAAACTTAAAAGAGTGTATCCACTCTCAAGAGCTCAACGCAAAGGCTGGGGTGAAGTCACGTGATACCTGGCCAAGTAACCCACCTCAACACAATCATGGAAGACCAAAGGATACACCTAGGTTCAGATTATAATAATCACCCAGCACCACCTGAATATTATCCAGAAAGATACATGAAGTAATAAAGGTTAAATATACATATATTTATCTTAGTAACCTGAGGGCTAAAAACTTGGAATACTATAAATTCTCTCAAAAGAGGTCCATCTGTATAAGAAAGGGACCGAAAAAGACAGAGTTCGTGTTATGTAAAACATGGGTAGTGAGCAAGGAACAGAGGACGGTTTCTTCAGCTCTTTCTGCAATGTCCTTCTCTGATAAGGATTGGCAATCTGTTGATCCAAGACAAACTCTTATTTTGGCAGGGGGAAGCGGGGGTGATGGGGGACTGGGAGTGACAGGTCAAAAGGATAAAGGGTGAGCAATGGTCCTCAAACTAAAGAGCACTCTCTGTAGGCCCTCTCATCTTTGAGTCTGAGCTCAAGCTCTCCAGCTGACACAGAAACAGGCCTGGCGGTTCAGTGGTTAGCATTCTGAGGTATGAGGATCCCTGGTGAATTCAGCAGCATGTGGTTTTTGGAAACTAGCCCACAAAATAAGAACACTGCAACCAAGCTCCCAACTAATACTGCATTTAACCACTGTCTGAAAAAGAAAGAAAAGAAAAAAAAAATCCCCACTACACTGGGAGGTTCTAAGCTTTCACATAAAGTGGTGCAATGATCTTCTCTTTATTTTATCTTAGGGTTTCTTAAGAGAATCCTCATTCACTGATATTTCTCTTGTTAAAGGCACTTTCAATGACATGATTAGAAAGGAGTACGTTTTAACTGTGGTAAAAACAAAATTCCTTGGATAACCTAGGGGAATGGGAGCTGCATGGGGCCCTTACAGTGATTCAACAGGCAAGACAGTCTTGAGCACCTGAACAGATGCACGTCCAGAAAAAGTGTGCCCTGAAAACACTTGTATTTTTCTTTTAGTTTTCCAGCTGTTTCTATATATAGCTCTGTAAAAAGATCACCCTACTTGATTTTCAAGACACTGGCCTTAACTCTCCCTACCATAGCTGTGCTTGACAAAATCAGCAAACAGTCCTACAGGGAAGGGGGGAAAAAAGGATGAATGAAATGAAGTTGAGCCAAACTTTCTTACAGCATAGGGATCTGTCCTTGCCAGGATCAGTTGCTGGACCTGTAGCAACTGAATGGAATATATGGCTCCTACCACTGATGAAATATACTTTTCAACAGGCAAGATCAAGTGTTATCTCTCTAAATATAAATTGTGGGGTATATTTTTTCCTTTTTCTCTCTCCTGAACATTTCTTATTGATCTCAGGCTTTAAAAAAAATTGGTTAAGTCATAATTATAAAAATTATATGGTAAGGGTTCAGAGAAGGTGAAGGGCTAATTTTTGCCTACGAGTTTAGGATCTTGAGCCTTCATATCATACTACCAACTAGAGAACAAATACAAAAATAAACACACCATGTTATACATAATACAAAGTGTAAATCTACAAACACAAGTGTACTAGTTAGAGTTGTTCCTCAGAAGCACAGTCTTCCTCTAGTCCCTCAGAGAGGAGAAGGAATGGGGACGGGATGGTTTTCGTTACGCCTTCTCATGTCTTAAAAGTTTGTAATAACAGTCTCAGTAGCGCAAAAAATTTCATGTGAAACCAGAAGCTGTAAAAATAAATTACTTTTGAAGAAACACGGGTTCCTCCGCAGCTCAGAACTCATCATGTCGTACTAAGGCCTCACCAAAATCTGTGGCCTGGCTGCCCACAAATAAATCATACTTGTCAACAATCTCCTCCTTGGTAAGTTTGCCATCCTGAAATTAGAGAGAATAGTGAATTGAGGCAAAATATACTTCCTATTCCAAATTTAGAAACACTGCTATAGAACAGAGATTAGTCAAGGTTTAATATCCTAATTCTCAGTTAATTAAGTGAATTCAACACACGCACACAGAAGAAAATAGCAATTAATACCTTTTTCTTACCAAGAAAGTTAAAAGTGGAAGGATGGAAATAATATAGCTCAATACTATATAACTCAATGCTAAATAATAACTCAATGCTAGAGATACGGGTTTGTTTCTTGAGGAGGAAACACCTCCCTTTCGAGCAAAATATGGGACATCTCCTAGATACCGATGGGTAAAACGATAGTCAAGAACTGGGTAAAATACTTCAGTGAGTCAAGTCATTGCCTAACAAGAACAACAAAATCTGCTAATATCAAGCGTAGCCCTCACTTCCACCATGCCCTACCTACCAATCAAGATTCCAGACACAACCAACCCAAATGAAGGCTCAGACACTCATTTCAAAAATTTTCTCAGCCAGATTCCCAACAGATGATATGAGCTTCCTTTTCTCAGATACCTCAGGACACAGCACCTGGCTACTGCAATGACTGAGCCACTCAAAACAGACTGACCCTCAAAAAGTCTCAGTGATAAGAAACTGCTTTTGAAACTGAAGACTGGCCTAGATAAAAGAAATCAATAAAAAAAGGAAAAGATAAAAATCACCAAATTTAGACAGATTTGCAGCCTATTCTGAGCAAAGCATTCAAATCTTTGAAAAAAGTGACAGGGCTTAGGGTTAACACTACTCTTTCAATGAACTAAATGCCTCAGATAATTGATCAAGGACAATTTTAGCAGGCTCCAGAGAAACGTTTATTTATAACCTATTGTACAGGACTTAATTTTAAAAGCATATTTGATTTAAGAAAGAAATAACCAGCTTTGAGTAGGCAAAATGGGCCTGTACCAGGGAAAGGACAAAGGAAATAACAAAGAGAAAAAAAAGCAAAGAAAATTCCCTGGGGATCCAAACAGATGATGCATGCTGGGCATGGGCTACCCACAGATAAAAATGGGGTCCTTTTCGGAAGCCTAAATTCCTCCAACGCTATGTACACTGGGCAAAGGGATTTCTAAAATGAGATCAGATAGCTAGCGCTGCCTTGTAAGTTTTCAACTGCCGACTTTAGGTCCATAGCAGACTTAGACTAATTAAGACCATAAATGCTTTACATACCTTAACAGGAATTTTGTAGGAAATCCCCTAGAAAGAGACCTCCATCACAGCTAGGTTGGAGCCTCGGCAGACTTACCTTGTTCTGGTCTGACTCATAAATTAGGTGCCTGGCTTCTGCCTCTGCATGATCGTAATCTGAGGGGAGGATCCAATCTTTGGTCTCTTCCTTGTCCATCTTCCCATCACGGTTCTTATCTCGAAATTCAACAAATTGTTCTCTCTCTGTCTTAACCCATTCTGGCTCATCAGCATTTCCATCATGGCTGTACATGTCACCTGTATGCACAGACATACATAGAAAAGATGGGTTTGCCTTTTCCCAAAGACCGCCTCATGCTAATCTGGCCTAATCCTCCTTCCTCATCCGTTTGGAATCCAACAGCAGTTTCAAGGGTATCTTAGGTCAGGGAGACCTTAGAAAGCAATGTATTTTCCTGAAACTTAATTATTGATCTTGCAACAAGAATATTTCTAGCTGATTTGAGTGATATGAGGGCAGAGTGTTTATCTCTTAAAAAAATGCAGAAATAAAGGGAGATGACTAGCACCAAGTATGATAAAGACGTTTATAAGATAGTTATTCCCTACATTCCATTGGTTTCAAAAAGGTGGTGTTCTAAATTCTCAAGGAAACTTCGGAAGTGTATGTTATAAGCCAAAACTGTCTACCAACCACTTACTTAAGTATATTTTAAAATCTAACTAAAAATTATGGGAATTTTCTTACATAGTCTTAATCCCATTATCATTTTACAAATCGACTTTTTTGGTATTATTTATTATCCAGTCCAAAAATTTCCTATTTTCTAAAGTTGGTTAAAGTAGATGAATGATGGTGGGTAAGAAGTTGTTATAGTATTTAAATTTTATGAGATTTGTAAGAGTTAAGGTATTTTAAAGTGTCAACATTTACACAGAAATTATTTTATACAACTGTTTAAACTTCTAAATAGTTCAGATTCCGCCTTTAAAATGTGTAAGGGAATACTGTGGTCAAAATTCTTTTAGGAATTATGTGAGTGAAAAAGCTTAGATTCCTGAGTTATACTACATCTAAGTAAGTGTAGGTACATTTTGTGTAAAATATGGAAACACATCTAATATAAATCTAAATAGTTTGTAGGAGTTCTAAGCAAAGGTAGATATTCAGTTGTGATAAAGTTAATTTGTATGTCTGGAACCACAAAATGAAGGGCACCTCAGTGGCCCACCCAGGCCACAAATCTAAGCCTAAATCAGCCTACACTTGTAAGAAAGGCCTCACTGCCAAGTAATCTTACACCAATCACAATCCTCCAGCTTGACTCTAAAAAACAGGACCTGCTAACCTTGGAAAGAACCCCCTGCCTCCTAGCCAAACCTGCTCTTTCTATGTTGCCTCTTCTAATGCTCTATAAAACTCGCTCTTGCCCAAAATCCCTTGGGAAGAGTACTTACTCTTGAGGCACTGTACTCCCCCAATACATGGATTATTACTTTGTAACATCAAGCCTGTTACTAAATTATATTCTTTTTGTCATTTGACAGTTGGGACTGTCATTTTCCTGAATTTGAGGGTTAAAAGTAGAACTATTCCTTTTGCCTTAAACTTAAAGGAGGAGTTCCTCAGAGTAGAATTTGCCATTTTTCCCCCCCAGGACACGGCACATTTGAAAAATGTAATATTTGTATGAACCACTGGGCCAGTGCCCTGCCCTAGCTGTTCTGAGGGTCGAGGAGACAGTATACAGACTGGGAAGTTGTGAATTAGAGAGTGAGTGAATACGTGTGTGCTTAAAAGACATGCTTTTAACAGAAGCTAGAATATACAACCCAATGTAAGTGTATTTTGAAGCTAGGTGAGTAGAGAAGATAGTTAAGAACAATACTATTTAATTTTCTGTTTTAAAAGGATTCACTCTATATAGCGCTGTTAAGGAATTATTAATTTTTTTGAGATTATTTTTTTAAAGTTTTCAGAGATACACATATATCTTAAGAGATACATAACCAAATGTTTACAGATGAAATAAGGTGATTAATGGGATTTATTTCAAAATAATAAAGGCAGTAAGGAAGTGGTATATTCAAAAGGACTGGCCATGTGCTGATGATGGCTGTTGGAATTGGGCATAGGGACAAAATTCTACCTAATTTTGTGTACATTTGCAATGCCCCATAATAAACTTAAAAAATAAAAAAAAAATCAACAGTATAAGTCTGGGGACTCCTTATTAATGCTAAATTTAAGAGGCAAAGACCATTTATTTCTTTTGGATCTCACTCCTCAATAGGACATAAATTAGCACACCCCTAGAAACTGAAAGATATTGGGAGACTTTTAGCTTTACAAAGCACAACATTTGGGTATAAAAGTGTTTGCATTAGTTGATTTGTGAAAGTAAACACTACATACACAGGTGTAGTGTTTAAAGGAGTTCAAATGAGTCCCTCTGTTTTAGCAATGGTGATAAAATGGCAAAAGCCAAGAATGAAAGATAAAATATTTAAAAGTAGAAAAGTCAACTTTGAAATAGGCTCAGTAAATACACCCAGGCATTTACTTTCACTGTGCTGATGAACTACACATACACACATACACACACACTATCATTTGGGGGGAAAAAGTCCTATGTTTCATTGCTTACCTCTCTTTCTATAAAAACTCAAAGTACATCACTGAGTCAGGAAAAAAAAGTTAAATTTTCATGGAGTAATTCAACTGAAATAACTCTAGAAAATAAAGAGCGGGTATAATTAAACAAAATTGGAGTAAAGGAGTGACTTTTTCAATGCAGCCTCAGTGACAGATGATGGAGGTAGGGTTTAAGTCTCCCTTTCATGCTTAAAATAAACATTTCAGGTAAAAATCAGACGACTGAAAATAAACTGGCTTATGAAAAACAAGACCAGTGGTTTACAAGAATGAAGTTACTATGAGTAAATATAAGAACGTGAAATATAAAATTATCTAGTATCTTTCAAAAGAGAATGACATTTGTAACAAAGACATTCATAACCTCTTTAACTTATTTTCCTTTCCATCATAGTAACTGTGAAACAATTTGCTCAATTACTTGGTAAGAGAAGTGTCTCCTTTTTTAAGGCAGTGGAGAAATCATGAAATTTCTTGACAGAAATTAGTCTTGGAGGTGTAGCATTTCCTGGCCACCCCATCCCCCACAATTTTTTAAACAGACAACCACAAGGAAAAGTAGCAAAAAGAAGACTTAAAAAAAAAACTAGTCAGAGAACCTAGACAGAAAACAGGAATAGAACACAATGAACAGACATTGAGAGGAAATCGGCAATCCTGGTTGCTTATTCAAACCCACCTGTCTCTTATTCTATTCCCTATCTTCTCCTGGGTCTCCTAATGCCAGTCTAGGCTCCCTGCCATTCTTTACTTTCAATTCCATAGGGGATCCAGGATGCACTGTATCAGTGCTGTCCAGTATAGGAGCCAGTGGCCACATGTGGCTATTGAAGACCTGAAATATGGCTGGTCCAAATACAGATGTGCTATAAGTATAAAATATACCTTTAAAGACTTAATCTGAAAAACAAAAACATTTAATAATGTGTAATGATAATGTTGAAATTATAGTATAGCATAGATTAAGTTAAATAAAATACTTTATTGAAATTAATATCTTTTTTTTTGACGTGGCTATGCAAAAGTTAAAATTACATATACGGCTCACATTTACATTTTGACTGGACAGTGCTGCTACAGATACTTTATCACAACCCACTATTCCTCACACTGGTCTGGCTTAATGATGTGCTAACAGGTGATCCATGAGGTAAATTGTTTCTATGGGTAAACACATATTCCAAAGCTTCTCGGCCTCTTCTAAGAAAAAGGCTGGAAGCAAACTTACCAATATACTCTTCTAGATCAATGAAACCATCAGCATTCTTATCTATATCCTCCATTGTTTCCTAGACAGAAGAATGAAAGTTAGTACCTGGATGAATTAGTTTTGACAATTATTCATCATTCATTAAAATACACAAACACACATATGGTTAAACCAGAAGAAATAGCTGTTTTTCTAGTTGAAAAATGGTAAATTATCTCAATGTTTATGCCTCAATCAAAAATAACTATGAGTCTTCTTAGAGGAACATTGGCACTGCTTAATAATGAACTACTCACCAAGCCCACAATTATCTGGTAGTCCTAGTCATGCTGAAGTCATACTAACAGGAGATGTGACCAGCAACCAGTGAGTATGTCGATAGCTATAAGTCCATGTTTTATTGGTAACTGCCTTCTATGAGAATTCTTCAGTATCACTGTTATTATTCAGTATCTGATTACTGGTCATGAGATATTTTTAAAAACAGGATTTTCTCTCAGGCTTACAAAATGAAGCCACCAATGAGATGGCAAAATACATATATGATGGCAAGTATTATCATACTAAACAGAAAGCCTAACATACCTAAGATAAATGAGTTGATCAAAGTCACAGAAAAAGAGTGACAGATTGGACTCAACCTGGCCAGCACCTGTACAGCAAGTCAATCTCCACATATAGAGGAACTGCTAATGAGGAAAGACAGCGTAAGCAACAAAAGGAGAAACTAAATTTCTGTTGAGAATCCTTTCTCTTGCTAACCTGTACTACTATATCTTTCATGTAGTCATATTCTTCAGGGTGCAGGAAAGCTGTGAATTCTTCCTTTGTGGCAATGAGGTCACCATCCTTGTCTGCCATTTTAAACCTCCGCTCATCTCTAACCATCATCTGTTTGTAGTTAAATCCATCATCTGGGTCTGGGTCATCTAGAAAACAAAATTTTAGGTTAAACTTTAAAAGCCTGAAGAAAACATGAAAATGTGTGGGTAGGGTAATCAATTTGCAAGATAGATAAACCAAGCAATGAAGAAATAACTTGATTACACAGGTAAAATTACAGCAGTACAGAAATCCCATTTTGGTAATCAAAGACCTCAAAGTCAGGTCAAAGTTGAATGTAAATGTTTGCCATTCAACATGGAACTCGAGCTTCTGGATAATGTAATCCATTATGTAATACTTCACTGTTATCGGTGTTAAAGCTGTTTGAAGGCCCGAGTTTTCTAGTTGTATCTGAGGGGCAGTGGTAGTTCTGAAGTCGTACTGTCTGAGTTTGAATCCAAACTACCACTTTCTAGCTGTGTAACTTTGGGCAAGTACTTCATCTGTAAAATGGAGATGATAATGGTGCCTGCCTCACAGGACTGTTATGAGGTTTACATGAGCAGATAAATCTAAGTTAAGTACTTAGAAGAATGCCTGGCATGTTGTTGGCTTTCAATGATAGCTATTGCTATTTTTATTAAACATTAGGCTCCCGTTAAGCTAGACATCAAAGGCCTTCTATCCCATTACAGGCCACTTATATTCAAGCAACAGAACATCACTGCTTTTAAAAACATCGCACTAAAGGTAAGGCATGACTGTTCCTGCAACATATTGACCAAATAAAAAAAAAAAAGATATGGTACTCGTTTTATAAAAAGACCCACAGGGCCTCTTTAATAACATCACACTGCTGACTTTTGACACTGTAGTTCAATCTTTCCATACTTAAAGCACAGTTAAAAAAAAAAAAAAAAGACTTGCTATTTTGAGAGTTGAGCCGCTTGAAGCTTCACTCTTTGTTGAGTGTCAAAATTCAGTAAAGACAGCTTATTGAACTATGAGGCTTTGGGAATCCTAAATGTGTTTACTCAAAGCCATAGTTGAAGATGGAGAATTTAAGGAAAATTTTACTTTCTCAGATACTAAGTTATCTCTTCTTCTTTTTTTAAACACCAACACCTGGTCTTCCTAGGTGGTCTCCCATCCAAGTACTAACCAGGCCCGACCCTGCTTAGCTTCCGAGATCAGACGAGATTGGGCATATTCAGGGTGGCATGGCCATAGACAAGTTATCTCTTCTAAACAAATAATGTTTCAGTACCAACTATGTAACAGATATAAGAAAGATAACAGAAGACAACATATACAGTAAGACTAGATTCTGAGCTAAGAGCTCTTCTTTCTTCCTTAGAATAAAACATAGTAACTGAAATCAAGGAGCCTGATAACATTCACAACAAGGAAGACAAACTTTATTTTCAGTGGCTAAACTCATGTGCCTATCATCACTGCTTGGAGTGCTGTATCTATCTTAAGCACCAGTTTACTGCACTAGCCAGCCTACACGCAGTTTTGGGTAGGCTCTTGATCTAGTTTTGGTAAAGGCATGATGGATCTTTGTTTTTCATCTTTTACTTGTGGCAGACAATGTTACCAGTCCTTTTGTGGAAAACAGATTCTGACAGATTTTAATTAAAAGCTAGATGACTTATATCTTAACTCTAAATTGAGTCAAGAATATAGTCACAAAAAAAACCCACAGCACTTTTATAAGACAACTGTTTATCCTCTGGGCACTGTCCACCCGCATGCCTCCAGGGAAAGATGCCTTATAAAGACATTACTTCTCTGGCCAGTGTTTCATCTTATGCAGAGTCTCAGTCAATAGAAATACCCATTACATTGAATCATTTGCCTAGTCAGGCAAAGAGCTCTCAACAAATTTTTATGCACATAATCATACAAAGAGTTGAAGATTAATTCTGAGCAGCAAATGAGTGCCTAGTTCTGAGCTGAGATTTATTAACAAATCATCCTGTTTAGATCACCAATAGTTTACCCTTTACTTTTTATTTATAATTAATTCCAAATAAATCAGGAGGGTGTTGGGTTCTAGCCAGAGAGGAGGAAGCACAAATGCCTCTCCATCTGCACTGAATTTTTAATACACATGCTCTTAATTGGGTGAAGGATATGTTTGGTTCTTGGCTAGGTGTCAAGCTTGGAGAGAGACTGCCACTCTAGCCTGATGAATGAGAACAAGCCCAACACAGAAATAAGTCTCTTCACTAGAAATGCATTTGGTCCTATAATTAACACGGACAGCTGGCTACCTAGTGGGGGACACAGACATTATGTACTCACTGCCTGTTAGTCAGTGGTGGAAAACGCCTGCTTTAGCTCAGAAATTTGCCTAATCTCCGGGATAAAATACAAGAAGTAACATGTATACATTCTTGTCCCAAATTTGTGACCATGTGCAATGGAGGAATCTCACTAACAATAACAGCTTAAGTCATCGACTCAGTAAGATCGCCACCTAGAATTCAGCAGCAGGCAAGTGTAATAAAAGGAAATTACTAACAGGTGGCCCAAGCACACAAGCTACCAAATCAACAAAAAGCAGTCAGTCATATTTATTTGCCTTGAAGCATTTGCAAGCAGGCTGGTAAACTCATGTGCCAGAGAAAACGAATGGGAAATTTCATTTCCAAACTTCAGTAAGCAGACATACTGAAATAGTTAAATTCTGTCAAGGAGAGTTATATTTGACCTTTATTAAGGAAAGACTAATTTGCCTCCTATTCTCACCAATTATAAAGGAATCTAATTTGGTATGAATTTAAGGTCCAATATTTTAATGTGACCATGTCAAGAGAAATCTTAAAGCCTCTTGCTTTGCATTGTTGGAACAATGCAGCCTTTTAAAATAAGATCTCCAAAATGGTCTGAGGGGATGACGGAAAGAAAAATGGTCAAATATATCTGAAATGCTAAAGATATAGAAGATGCCAGACTTCTGAAAACCAAAACTAATTACCCCCCAATATACATATTTAAATTAATAAAATAAAGAGAAATCAGCTCAGCATTGAACTACTTCAGCAGTTTCTTCCTTTCCTTCACTGCGTGACCCATTTGTTTCTCTGACTCAAGACCATGGTCTCTGCCAGGCTGACATCTTGCCCCTTACCCAGGTAAGTGCCATAAGTCACGTTCCTGTACTCATCCCAGGAGATTAAGCCGTCTTGATTCATATCAAACTCCTGCCATTGGTTTTCAACATTGCCATATATGTATTTCTTCTGGGCGTGCTTAATCCAGGATTTCAGCTCCCCCTCCGTCACAAACCCATCTTTATCCGCGTCTATTTTATCTACAATCACTCTACAAGACAAAACAGTTACGTTTCAAGGTGCCGGCTCCACAAGGCTTTTTCCCCCAGATAGTAGGGACCTACCTAAAACGTAGCCGTAGGTGGCATTTTTATACTCCTCCCAGGAAACGAGGCCGTCCTCATTGAGGTCATGCCCCTTCCACTGTCGCTCTACATCCTCGTAAATCCAGCGCTTTTGTGCAAATTTAATCCAGTCTTTGAGCTCATCCACAGTGACAAACCCGTCCTTGTCGCCATCTATTTTACTTACAATCTTTCTGTAGAAAATGCAGAGAAATCCAGCAAGAAGTTAAAAGGACAAAAGGCTCTGGACTTATTTAGCCAGGTGTGTGCTGTGATCATAGGTGTTGCTCGGGGTTAAAGCATGGAAATAAAAATTGTCTCCAAAACAAAACTGCCAGATAGGCAAATGAAAATCTTTCCCTTAAGTGGCCTGTTACTAGGCTGTAATGAGCCATTTGGATAAAGGCAAGCACAGTCCATGGCTGGTGTACCTGGGTTCAAAAGCAAACCCAACCAGTCTATTCCTTTAGAGGTAGGTTTCAGCCAACGGTCAACATTCAGGAGTGAATAGCCATTCCTATCTGGTTCTCTATCTTTGTAACAAACATGCAAATCTTTTCATTTTTCTTTATTACTTTTGGGAGAATCTCAACTTCTTGGTAATAATCGCAACCACTGGCATTGTTTTCTAAAAATTCAAAAACTTAAACCAAGCTTAAAAAATTCAGCTGCTTTTTAAAAAAGATAACACTTTTGCTAAAAATATAAAGATATCAAAAATAGTTCCGAGATCAATTTATACCTTGTCAGATTAAAAAAAAAGAAAAACAGGTATGCAAAGACAGAAGCATGTTTATTCTAAAAAAATGGCTAGCAGCTTATTATATACTATGTCAAACTGGATTTTTACATATAACCACAAACAGAGCTCCGAGGACATGATGTGAGAAGAATGTATATCCCTGATTATAAGAGTGTTAATAAGCTGAGAGGGTTACAAGTGCAGAAGATAAAGCAAAGCTGAAGAATCGATAAAGCTCGTCCTTCATTAACTTCTTTCTTATAGATCTGTTATCTTAAGGATTTCAAAATATGTGCATATGAAAACTGTTCAAAGATGCAATCACCTACTCATCATAGAGGCAAATATATGTAAAGTCACACAAGTTAAGTGCCCCAGTTTGGAATAGGAATTTTAAATCAAAACTTCTAACAGAACTGAAATTGTGGCATACTCCTATGTTCTTTTAACTGCAGGACTGAAAAAGATTACTTGGTAGCAAATAATATCTTTTCCCAGTTTGTGTTCATTTCATGAATACACTGGAAAGTGATTAGAATCACAGAATATGAGCAACACCATGAAGAGATTCATCTTGATATTGGTGTTAGGCATAACTTAAAACCTATAATTAGCAAGCATTTTCCTTCAGAGAATGTGCAATCTTGTAGCTTCTGATCTAAAATGCTAATAGAACATATAGCAGTACGTCATCTTTTAAATATCCTCCTCTATCTAGATGAACATAAAACAAAAACTTTTTTGTAACTTTACTCTGTAGAATTTAAATAGTATTCAAACAAATTAAGTTCTATCCATATTAAAAACTTCAAAATTATCTATAATGGGATCCAGTTTACATCCAAATGTCAGTATTGGCTACCAACAGTGCCACAGTATCATTAAGAAAAAAAAGGCAAGGTATCAGAACCCCTCCCAGTCCCAAAAAAAGTTTTAGCAATTATAAATAGCTTAAAGAGAAAGATTACTTGGATTAAAAAATGATTATGAGTAAAAAAAAAAAAAAAAAAAAAAAGGGCATATGACTATTCAAGTTAGGTTTTCTCAGGGAAGTTGGCTGAACGCCATTCTATTTATTCCAACAGAAATATCCCAAACCGTTTAATCCAGAGGCTGGCAACCTTTTCCTGAAAAGGGACAGATAGTAAGTACTTCTGACTTTATAGGCCGCATGTGTATTGTTGAATAATTTTTTAAAGCAACTATTTAAAAATATAAAAGCCATTCTTATTTTGCTGGCCACCTAGCCTACAGGCAGCTGTGAAAGTACACTGGAAGTGGACACATCCTATCTATTTTAGGCATGAAGCTCTAAACTCTAATCTTTAAAAGCCTGTGTAAATTTATGAACTAAATGGTGTTAATATTCCTATGACATTAGAGAACCCCATAAATGTAGTTATGATGCCACTAAATAAGCATCTATTCCAGGACAGACAGTGCACTCAGTGGATCTTATGTTATTTCTCCTAAGAGGTAACACATACCTCTACATTTCACAAAGCAAACCTTTCAGTTTTTTAAGAACCTGGGTCAATAAGTGGGCCCCAGTGGGGTTTGTAATAGTCCTGAAATTTAATTTTCAGAATGCAAAATTTGATATATATTCATGTGTGCACTTTTCTGAAGAAGAGTCCTTAGCTTCGTTAGACTTCCAAAGGGGCTGGGCCTATTAAGCGCCCCCCAGTTCCATCCCGCCCGCCCCCCCAAAATGATGAACTGCTCTAGTTAATTTCTATAGCAAAGGTTTTTATATTAAAGACCACTACCCTCAAAACAAATAAATCCTTATCAGAAGGACACGTAAATGAAAATTAAATAGACTTCTTTGTGTGTAGGGGAGGTTGAGAATACACATGTAAGAAAAAAATATGTAAAATGTGGTAAAACGGTAAAAATTAGTTGCCTCCTAGAATAGATGGAGAAGAGGGGGAATCTGCTGTTCCCAACCTCTAGTGTACAGTCCTACTAAAACAACGTTTCACCTGGAATTTTTGCTTCCAACAGTATGTCAGCTTATAAACTGGGGATATGTGTCATTATCTCTAAATTTGGGAGGAGAAAAATGGTACTTGGTTCACTTACACATTCCATGGAAAACATGATTTTAACTATCTTATTCCAATCAAATATGGAGTCTGCTCATGTAATTTTTTTGATATTTACTGATGACAAAAAGAAACGATTCTCTCTACTTAAAACTGGTAGCAGAGCTATTCCACTACCTGCACAAAGCCAGAACATTCTGACTGACACCAAACCCAAGGGCCCTTCATTATTTAAGAGATTATTGCAAAGAGATATGCGTAGACTAAAATGTGAGTTGGACGTGGACGTTATTCATAGGCAAGACACGAAGCCAGAGAACATCCTCATGCAGCTCTATTTTCAGCACGGAATGTTAGGAGTTATAAGATTAAAATTAAAAGCAAGCATGGTCTCTCTAAGTTAGAAAAGCAACCTAACAAAAGACTGACTCTTTAATATACTTGTTTTCTCCATCTACTTTCAAATGTTTTAGGACAGTTTCTCATTCTACACAGCAAAATCTTTTGTCAGTGTTTAAGAATAAAACATTGTACCCTTCAGTTAGCAGATAACCCAATGAAAGAAAACCCTCTAATGTCTTCTAATCATAGCACTATCCGAAACAGCAGAATATTTTTGGAAATTCCTATGTGGTACAACTTTCCAGACCAATCTCTTGAATATAGTCCAGAATGTTTCACCACCAGTGGTCACTGAGAAAACATTCACTAAATTAATCTTAAAAAGCAAGGCTGTGGAAGAGCCAAAAGACATTCTCAGATCCTCAGTGAGAAATAATCAGCTGGGACTCTACTAAAATGCTTTAGGTGAAAGACACCTGCTGAGAGCGCAACAGAACCCGACCATGGCCCAACTCGTACTCTAACATTAAGACCATAATTTTCATAATCTTCTGAAAGACAAGGTCGGTCTGTTTTTGTTTTTAATTAAGCAAATACCTGAGAATGAAAATGAAGAGGGTGAAGGACATTCTCAGAAATCATAAACTTTACAGAAATTTGTCCAGGGATCTAATTTGTAGTTTATTATCCAAAGACTTGGCTTTGGCAACAATAAATAGGTCACAAATAGTTTTTTAAAATTAAAAGAAGCCCCTCTTTTCCCTACCATGGAATGTTCCTTTGGGATCAAGATGATGCAGTTCAAGCTGGGTCCTTTAATATTAGGATATTAATATTTAATATTTCTAGGCAAAAATGACTTTGCTTTGTAGAATGAAATAAAAACTGTTGTTCAATAGAGAAATGTATGAAAGCAAGCACTTAATTTTAGTGGTAGCAATTCTGTGATTATTTTCAGAAGATGTAGTTCAATAGCTTTACTAGGTGACTGAGCCAGTAGAGGAAAAAAGAATACGCTGATTTATAAAGAATGTCATTACCCTAACTAGTCCCCCGAGAGTGGACACCTTACCCAAGCCTTTCCTTGCTTTCTTCTGGTGTCAGCTGATCAAAGGTCTTTGCTTCTTCAGCACCCAAGAAGGCATCATGGTCATAATCGAAACTCTCAGCATCGTTGTGAACCTTGTCGCTGAGCTGAGGCTCATGGTGCACACGGTCCTTTTTTTCTGTGGGCTTGCTCAAGGCAAAAGCAGTGCACAGGGACAGGCACATAAGAAACTGTCGCAGGTCCATGATAATCAGATCCTAAAGTTTAAGAGATGTAATTAATTCAGGAGGCAGTATGCTTATTAATTAAACAATTAATTAAAAGTTCATATCCAGTTAAATTTGATATTATCTATTATAAATTAATCCACAAAATAAGTTCAGCAGAATATCAGACTTTCTGGTTTTATGTTAAGAAATTTTCATCAATTTCCTTCATTTGATTGTAGGCTGACAAGGAATTATAAACATCCACCTTGTAAGTAGTCTTCTTTTAAAAATTACCAAAGTAGAACTTTAATCCTTCTGCCCAAGTTGATAAGACTTAAAAGAGAAAAGACCAAGATTCAAATCCAGACCTACTGACTCCAAATACTCTTTGTACTACATCAGTGGACTGGTCTTCAAACCTGGCTGGTTATTACAATGACCTCGGAAGCTTTGAAAAAGTTTTCCCTATTGAATTAGAATCCCTGAAGTTGAATCCAGGCATTTGTAGTTTTAAATGCTACCCAAGTGATTCTCATGATCATCAGATTAGGAGCAAATAAAATATTTAAGTGGTGTCCTTGGCCTATAGCACCCAGCCATCTCCCACATTCAGGCTCAATCTTAAATCACCTTCAAAGATCAAACCATTCACATGGTACAGTGATGAATAACAACTGCTTTATCACTCCATATACTGTGTCTCCCAAGCTTTTCCAGGTGTAAGGACCACCTGGAATACTGTTCAAAGTACAGTTTCCCAGGCCCTACTCTGTACCTTCAGAATCACTGCAGTCACAGGTGATCCTAATGAACAAGCACAAGGCTGGAACACTTTTATCAAAAAATGTGACCAAAAAACTGCAGAGAAAAAAAAATTGCAGAGAAATTCGGGATAGAGCCTGTTTGGCACACTCTACAGATACCCCATGGTACTGTCCACAGAGGTTAAGTAAGGTCTTTAGAGAAAAAACTGTAAAATCAAAGATCCAGGGTCAAGATTTGCTCAGGCTTTCATATTTTAACTAATCCTTCAGTAGAACATGAATTCGGAATGCTTCCCCCCACCGCCACCCCCCCACCCCAAGATGAGAGTAAGTTTTTGCCAAGTATCTCTTGCTCATTTCCCTTTATGACCAATGGCTCCCTTTCTCGATAGGTGGTTATTAGGCATGAGGCTTGTTGTGGGTGAACTGCATCCCCCGAAAAGATATGCTGAAGTCCTAACCCCTGGTACCTGTGAATATGACTTATTTGGAAATAGGATCTTCGCAGAAGCAATCAAGTTAAAATGAGGTCATACTTGATTAAGGTGGGCTCTAATCCAATGACTGATGTCCTTATAAATGGATGGAAATTTGGACAAAGACACACAGATAAGAGAATGCCACATTATGAAAAGAAGCAGATTGGAGTGATGCACCTGCAAATCAAGGAACCAGAAACTAGGAAGAGGGAAGAAAGGATCCTTCCCTAGAGCCTTTAGAGTATGGCTCTGCCAACACCTTGACTTCTAGCTTCTAGCCTCTAGAACTTGAGAAAATAAATTTCTGACCTTTTAAGCCACCCAGTTTGTGGTCATTTGTTACAGCAGCTCTAGGAAACTAATGCAAGGTTACAGTACAGGGGAACACTGAATCATATGAAAGTTAAAAGCATTACTTGTCCTAATCTGCAGATTAAACCAGCCACAGACTTCACCTTCCTCAGGATGTCACTAGTGGAACAATCTAGTCTAAGGGCTCACATCTTATATGTAAATATTTTTTAATATAAAAACTTTTTCAGCATAGCTTCTATCTCAGTGGTTCTCAATCCAGACTGCACCCTAGAATCACCTGGACAGTTTTTAGAAAATATGACTACTACATCCCACCTCTATTAATATTTTTAAAAGAGAGCCAGGTTAAGAACCACTATTCTAACCAAACTTTCAAACAGCCATAATAGTATCTTAAGAAATTTGACCTGAAATCATACTTAATATGAAGAAACTGCATAAATCTGATTCTGCCTCAAAATTTGGGAACTAGAATGAAGAGAGTGAATTGTGCCAGGGGATAAGGAAATTAAATATGCTAATAGGCTAGACATACTTCAATGTATCCACCTTTCTTATGACCCCCAAGTAGTAGCTAAAGAAAGTTACACTGTATTACCTTGGATTTACAAAGACCTTTAGATTCAATGAGCTAATCAATGCTAAACAGTTAATGATGAGTATGTTATACAAGGACTCTTTAAAGGTAGAAAGAAAGAAACTGGAACAGTGTCAATAAAACAGAGTAACGTAGTGAAGGAGCTAACAGGAGGCAGTCCCTTCCCAAGGGCCCGTTCTCAAAAAAAAAAAAAAAAAAAAAAAAAAAAAGTACTCTCACTGGATGGTTGTTAAGACTAATGAAAACCCATGAGAGGAAGAAATGTGAAAGCAGACCTGAAGATCCTTAGAGAAAGGAGAAGATGCTACTTTTCCACCAATGCTGGCACTCAGGTAAGCTTCTAAAAGTTTATGAACATTCTGTTTCATGCTATCTCATCAAAACACTCAAATTTGTATATAAAGATACTTGTATACAGATGTTCAATGATGACAGCTTATATTAAAACATGGAAAACAAAACAGATTAAGAAGTATAAATTGGTAGTTACAAAATAGTCATGGGAAAGTAAAGTACAGGGAATATAGTCAATATTATTGTAATAACTTGGTTTGGTGCCAAATGGGTAATAGACTTATCAGGGGTATTACTTATTAAGTTATGTGAATCTAACCACTATGCTGTATACCTGAAATTAATAATATAATATTGAATGTCAACTGTAACTGGAAAAAAACTTTTAAATTTTTTTTAAGAAAGGAAAACTAAACCAGAGAACAAATATGCATTAAGTCTATACTATGGGACACTACAGAGGTTAAAAAGAATGAGGTGGCTCTATCTGCACTGAAACTGAGAACTCACCAAGGTGTGTTAAGTGAACAAAAAAGCAAGTTGTAAACAGTGTCAAGATCTCATTTATGTAAAAAACAAAACCAAGCAGCCTCCCCAGGTTGTTTATAGTTGTATAAAACATATATGCACAAAAATGGTGTGGAGAATAAACATCTATCTGTAAACAGTGGTAACCCCTACACTCAAGGGAAAAGAGATGGGGTGGGGTGGTGAGGCTGGGGTGGAGTGAACTTTAATATACTCTGTTGTGTTATCTATATTTTGTAAATGAACACACACTCACGTGTGTTGCCTTTTTATGTGTGCTACTTTTTAAACATTAATAACACTCCAGCCTACCCCTCAATAATTCAACTGATCAACCAAATCAGTGGAACAATAAAGAGAAAATTAGAGATTTCGTCGCTCTCTTAAACATCAAAGTAAATATGCCTTTATTTTAGAGCAAAATGAAACTTCTATCTCAAACTACTAATAATTCTTTAGACAAATAAAACTCATTAGAGGCAAGGAAGGGATTACACGTTGTTGACATTTTGTGATACATCCAAACAATATCTATGTTACAGGTTCACAGAATCAAGTAAAATCAAGATTCAATGCAACAGAGGAGTTTCCTTATACCTATTAATAAGGGGACTTCACATTTAGGAAAACATTTTTTTTTTTTTTAAATGCCTACAGCACCTGGTCTCCCATCCAAGTACTAACCAGGCCTGACCCTGCTTAGCTTCCGAGAACAGACAAGATAGGGCACGTGCAGGGTGGCATGGCTGTAGACTTAGGAAAATTTTAGAAATCATTAATTACATCCCTAGAATATTGTAACAATTCTTGCATTAATACCCTAACTCTTGTAAACCCCAAATGTTACACTATGACTAAATGCTTAAGCCCACTAACACCATTAGGGGCTGGAAAAGGTACTATACAAAGTTTTGATACATATGACTACAGCAATGTAACAAATTTATTTACTGTTATTTAGAGAGAAAACTATATTTAAATCTGAGGCTTAACATCTTGATACAAGAATAAGAAAAGAAATCCAGAGTAAAAGCCCAGTGATCTGGCTTTATCATTTATCCAGCTCTCTTTCCTTCCCCTCTCTCAATTAAACTTTCAATCCCAACCCTTTATAGGCTCCTCCATTTTGTTAACCAATATTTTTCAGGTCTCCACGATCCCAAATCAGTCTCTCCCAGACCTTATATGCTCCTCCCTTCCCTTTACCCACTTTCTCTAGTTGTTGTCTATGTTGCGGTCTGTTTCCTCACCACCTGCTGTCACACTGCAATCTGTCTACCACTGATGAAATTGCCTGCAAAGGTCATCAAGGATTATTTGATTGACAAAGACAGTGAGCAATGCAAAAGTAACTTAAATATATATGCTCTTTGCGCCCACATATAAATATACGCCCACGCATATAAATATACCAATCCCTGGCTATTAGAAACTTTAACAAAAGGCTCTTGTTTTATGATTACAGACACTAAAAAAGACTACTAGATTTATCTAAATCCACATACATATGGATTTTTAAGTAGAAACAAAAATGTTTAAGTAGAAACAAAGGATATCCCTCAAAACAAGATATTTTATGTGGGAAGATGTGAGAAATACAAAACCAGTTTTCACACAAGGCATTTGAAGAACTACATTAGTGCAGTTATTTCTGAAGCATCTTTTTTCAACCACTAAAACCAAATGATAAAGTTAAATGACCCTTCTCTTTCTCCTTCCCTCAACTATATATCCAAAGATAACATGACATATATGAAGGACTTGGTTTTATATGAGTTTTTACCATGTGACCTAGAAGGTAAATCAATAGTTGTGAAAAATGCATCTCCCCATCTCCCATTTCTCAAATGACCTGTAAGTTGTTCTAAAATTCTGCCCCACCCTCACCAAGGGTAACATCTAATAGTTTTTCTTATTAAAAAAAAAAAAAAAAATCTAGTCTATGGCCATGCCACCCGGAACAAACTCGATCCCGTCTGATCTCGGAAGCTAAGCAGGGTAGGGCCTGGTGTACTTAGATGGGAGACCACCTAGGAAGACCAGGTGCTGTAGGTGTAAAAATAAAAAAATAGAGGATTGTAAACTGACAAGTTCCTTGTAATCTGTGAGGTCAACCAAGGGATGCCTCACCTAAAAAAAAAAAAAAAAAAAGATTAAAAAAAAAAAAAAAATCTAGACTTGCACTGTCCAGGACAGTAGCAACTAGCCGCATGCGGCTACTAAGCATTTGAAATGTGGCTGGTGTGAATTAAGATGTGGTAATAAGTGTTGTACTTTATCATCAAACATGTGGTATTGTGTATGTATTAAATGTTAAAATTAATTTCACCTGTTTTAAATTTTCACATGAAAATTTTAAATTACACTCATAGCTTGTATTATATTTCGATTGGATAGTGCCACGTTAGACAAACAAAAGGGCTAGAACAGAAATCAAGTAACTATCATTCTTTTGCAATATGCCATCAATAATTGTCTTCTGCAAAGTTATTTTCATGAATTGTTCCAGTAAATTTATAAGAAGAAAAGATTAATGACATAAGCTTGAATTTCTTTCAATAACAATAAGCCTTAAGAATCAGTTTATATTTTCCATTCAAAAATTTCCTTGAAAGCTCTAAATTCTTGCCACTTCTCCTTCAGTCATTCTTTAAAAAATCAATTGGTTACAGAACATTTAAAAGTAAACTGTTTCCAGGAAATTAAATGCCTGGATTAAATTCAACTTCTCAAGAACATTAGCACTGAGTGATCCTGCAGTTATTCTGGTTGACCAAAGACCCATTGCTCAATGTTAACAAGTGGAAGAAATGGGTGTGGTGATAAAATTCCAGTTCTCTGAGTTGGATAGTCAGGAAAAAAGGCATTCTCTATAATGCAGCAAAAGCATTATGCATCAATTGTGTACTGGGGGGTGGGGAGGACAGTCTGATAGCAATCTAACTGTATACTAGGGCCCGGTTATGAAATCTAGAAATTAAAGCTATTTGGTTATCTGACATTCTTCACTTACAAACTTTGGCACAAGCACACCAATGGATTATCACATTAAAGTAATGTCATCCTTCAAAATTTGATAAAAGAGATAATGACAACCCATGTATTCAATGTTTCTCTATTGATGGAACAGAATTACATTAATTAATTAATACATTCTAATTAATTATTTGTGTGACTGAGGGCATATATTCATAAAATGGTTGAATATATAAAAGTACAATAATTGGCTATAGTAGAAAAGCTTTGAGAATGACCAAGTGTTATTCAGGCTTCATTAATTCTATAACCAAAGCAACCCAGTACAAATGCAAAATTTTTCTGTCTACAGAGTAAAAAATTTTCTTTAAGAAAAAGTTCTAAAAATTCTGGGAAGAAAAAAGATTTCTTTCTGGCTGATGAAACTTTAATACATAATTAATTGCCATAGGAATGTTATGCAAAATGTAGGGACAAGAGCCTTGGTTTCTAGTTGTCGTTTTGCCGTGCACGGGTAGCATGCATAAAGTCCTTGAGAATTTGGTAGTTATTTTAGCTCAAACTCTCTTCAATGCCAAATGTCTATAAATAATTTTTAAATCCTAGATGAAAAGATCTATCTCATCACTCTAGCTAGAAATGATCTGTACCCATTCCTCTAAACTTTGAAAACTTGTTTGTACCACTCCTCAATAATAACCAAAGGCTACCTTAACTCCCCTATAGATGCTACACTTTTGGAAGGCAGGATCTCAGCTAATATTAAATCAATATCCCTCTACAGTCCCTAATACGGTCTTGCACTTTTTATATACCAATACATTTTACCAGACTAGTAGGACAGTACTTGGCAGCAATGTAAGTTCCTGCCTGTATGCTCCCCACCCCCCAATTCCCCTTACCGGATGTGGCCAGCAGCCAGCAACAAATTGTTATTTCAGCGGTCCTAGCTAATACATAAATTGCAACATCAACAACATCCATATTTAAGAGTTCATAGAGGATGGAGGACCTCACGGCCTAGCTAGCATCTCCAATAGCTATCCCTTGGCTACACCTCTGCCCTTCCAACTCCCCTGGCATATCCATGTTACAGAAAATCTGTGTTAATATCAATGTACTGATGATCCATACTGGTGCAATGTATAGAAAATACCATTAATAAGTATCTTTTGACACATCATTGGATGAATGGCAAACAATGATTACACTGAAAGTGATGAGTTGATTGCAAAGTTGTATCTGAGCACCATCCACTCAAACATAACTCAGTTCATCTTTGTTGGCTCATAGTTCTCCCAGTTGTGATAGTTCAAAGGATCCTACTGAAGACTCCTGAATCACAGTAAAACACAGATTAGGCCTAAGCAAACTCATCCTCTCCACACACAAATACCATTTACAGGTTATCACTGGACCCTCATTTGCACTATACAGTACTACATAAATTCTTCAGTGATGGCCATTGTTTGGTACTTGGTTAACTGAATCTCTGAATAAAGTCGAAGTCAAACATGCCTCTGTCATGTTTCAAGTCCCATTCTACCGCAAAGACGAATTTATCAGCGATGACACAGTTCTCTACCTCCCAGCTAAAAAAAAATAATTTAAGATTCGTTAACATTGGCTTTATGGTCTACGCCGGGAAGTGAATGAAATTCATTTCTTAAAGACACTATTCTGGGAGTTTACACACTTAGGAATTGAGATCGAAAGCCCTCAGGTTTTATCAGAAGACCCAAGAAGTTTTTGCCTTGATGCAAAAGCGGCTTTCAAAACTATATACACTACTAGACTCTTAATCATGGCAGCTGTAAGGAATTAAGTTCACTTGAGGGCATGCTAAAAATCAGAACTAGGGTCTGGAGCAAAGAGCAACAGAGCAAGGTAAAAATACTATCCCCTTACAAAGCTTTTATTTTCCGTCGCTGACTTAAGTACCTAGCTAGACATGTATGCTCGAAACATTCGGCTTTTCTTTAAAATTACATAATTTTTCTAAAAATCACATATTGTCTTCATGCTTTCCTTTCCCCCCTTGTTTCTACACCCTCAAAGTCAGCGAACGCGACTTTCTTGGCAGATACACCGTACTCTCGGGATGTGGCCTTGGGGCGGGGCTGGCGGACACAAGCAAGCCCGTGAGGGGGAGGTGGCTGGGAGCAGTTACAAATAACTCTAACTAACCAGCGGCCCTCCGACCTTCAAGAGCTAAACGAGAGTAACCCCGTAGTCCGAAGGACTCGGCGAGTGGCGGGGATGGAGAACGAGGACGTGGCAAGCCAGGCACAAAAGCCAGGAGCTAGAGTTCGCCGGGACCCAAGACCCTTTCTAGAGCGTGCCGGAGGCGAGACGCGGCCTCCAACCCAGGCTGCGCGCGCCGAGAGCCAGGGATCGGGCGCCGGTTCAGGCCCGGGTCCTCGAGCTAGCAGAAACACAGGCCCGGGCGGACGGAGACTCAGGCTGCCTTGGGAGCGAAGCCTGAGGACAAAAAGAAAGGGAAAAAGAAGGAGGCTGCAGAGAAAGGGCCGAGCACCTTCACACTTACCTTTCCTCCTATCGCCCACAGGCCAGGATGCCCCAGCCTTAGCTCATCCACCGGCTCTACTCACGCGCTCAAGCACCGCCCAACCGGAAGGGGCTCCGTGCCCCGCCCCCCGCCTTGCCTGGGGCTCCTGACCAATCAACAGCAAACCCGCTGCGGACGCAAAATCGTCCTGGGCAGCCATTGGTCCAGCAGTCGCATAGCCATGATTGGCTGGAAAGCGCCACGTCCCCGCCAGCGCGCCTAGTTGCGTGGACCGAATTCCAGCCCTACTGTAGTCCTGGGTCTTGTTGGGATGGCGGCTCCAGGCCCCTACTCCCTGCGGCTTGTGGGCGTGGCTGCCTGGCTTCCGTGTCCTAGCTCACAGCGCCTGTGACTGGGTCTTCACAGGGCTTCTAGAATTATCTTTCTAGTTAATGTCCACTAGCATCTAGGGCTGAATTAATCCAACTGTGTTGTGAAGGATAAATGGGCCACATACTAAATCTGACAAACTCTGTATGGTGGACCTTCTGAACTCAGACCAAAAGTGACCACATAGGATGGTCTAAACATAAAAATTCCTAGCTATAAGCGAGTCATGGCAAGTAGTCACATCCTAAGCCTATGGCTTCCTTGATAAAGGTCAAATCTTTACCTTAAGTGAGCCCATCTATTGTCTTTTTGCATCGAAGATAATAACATGCCCTAGAAATGTCAGTGTACTCTCCCGGACCCCTCAAAGAGGGCAGCAGAGCATGAGACCCCCGAACCTCTCCTTGTTCTCTTGTTCCCCGCATACAATCTCTATGTGCTGTAAATGGTAATTAACTATCCATAACTATCCTGTACTCACCAATGTAAAAGAAGTATATGTTGCTCGATTTTTGCCTTTTTATCCAATCCCAGAGATTCCCCCACACACTTTGTTTTCTCCCACCCCCTTAATCTACCACCAATGGATTTCATGTAACCCTCCTTACAACTAATCCTTTAATTCTAACGTATAAAGTAAGCTGCAAAACTGCCATTTTCCAGAGCATTTTCTCAAACGATTGAGATTTTGCTTCCCAGTAATTGTCATCAGTTTGGCTCAAATAAACTCAAAAATTTTCTACAGGTTTGGATGTTTCTTACATCGACTGTGTCAATCACTAACCGTATTGAACAACCCCAACTTCTTTTACTTCAGTGCTACTACCATGATAAGGTAGTCTACAGCAGGCTCTTTACCCTTGGCTGCTGTGTATCTTTCTGCTTTATCTCCCATGCTCTTTTTCACATATCTTGCTCTCTGGCCACTGTCATCTTGGTGTTCCCTCACAGTCCACCCTTTCATCTCTCTACGGTCTTTCATCAAGTGATTTGCTACACCTGGAATAAGTGCATTTTTCCAGATTCTCTGCCTTGTGAATGTCAATAAAAGTTCCAGTTCATAGACATCCCGGTTCAGATGTTAGCTCTAGAAGCTTTTCCTGACCCCATTAGGCATAATAATTCCTCCCTTATTTGCCTTTGTAGCAATTTGTATCTTCAGTACAATTTGTTTGCCAAATTTTGGTACAAAATGCTGCTTATTCATATGTCCTCCTCCAGTCTAGTCTCTGGGGTAGAGACTCGCCTTATTCTTTTTTGTATCTACAGCTCTGAGCTTACCACCCAGTTCAAAATAAATGCTTAAATAATGTTAAGAGAACAGACACATGTCCCTGATTTAAGAAGAACACAGGAAATTATTTACTTATTTATCTTCATGTTATGAAAACACATATTAAATGAGGGCTACTATGTTTGCAACACAAATGGAATATAAACCTACTGTGTTCTTAGCACATAAAACCTCTGTACTTTAAAATCCAGTTGAGACAAGTAGTATGCTCATGAAAGAGTTAAAAACTTAGACGTTATTTTTAAGCACTGAGATGAGAGGCTGACAACTAATGTTTCTGGAATTCAGACCAAAGAGTGACAGTGGTCCTTGGTGGTAGCCAGAGAGGGCTTCCTAAGAAGGTATGACTCAGGCTAGACTAAGGCAGTCTTGAATGCACTATTCAGCAAGAGTAATAAGAAGAACAGAGGCAAGTAGGGGACAGTATGCGAGGTAAATTTTCAGGTCAGGTATGCAATGAGGGAGGTAAGAAAAAGAGGGGTAGAGGAGGGCATGAAGGGAAAGCATAGATGGTAAATTTTATAGGTAATGGAAGGTCTTAACAATCTGAGGAGCCTGAGCTGAAGGCCATGGGAATTGCGGGTCTTCTTCTGAAGGTTTCTAAGCTTGTGTCTACAGAAGAGGTGAAACGAGATTGATAGTGCTTCTTTTGTAGATTCATCATAAAACAGGCTGCATCAGGAGGTATTTTAAAAAGTATTTTAAAAATGCCTCCTTGAAGTCAGGTACTGCGCTAGGTGCTGATGAACCCACAATGAATAGGACATAGTCTCTGCCCTCAAGAAACCGCAGCCTAGTGGGAGAGCCACCCATCTTGGCAATGTCGTAGAGGAGGCTGGGTAAGGTAGTGAGACTCTGCCAGAGATGGGGTCCCCCGACCCTGATGTTCCCTGTGGATAGGGCCTGGCCTAGGCAGAGCAAGGGAAATGGAGAGGAACACTTACTTATACATGAGAAAAAAAATTTTAAGTGGAAATAATAAGTTCTGGACTTAGTGACTGCTTGGATGAAAAAATAAGAGAGTACTCAAAAATTTAAGGTTTTAATCATGAAAACTGGGAGAATTAGCAAGATGAGTGGAAGATGAGGGAAATAATGAGTTATATTCCAGACATGGTAAGTATAAGGTGATAGCAGAATATCTAAAAAGAAAGAACAAATAGGCTGGAGGAGATACTTAGAAGGGCCATTGGCCAGGAGGCAGCTGATGGAGCCATGAGAACAAAAGTGCTTTTTGAGGAGAGACATGCAGAGTAGGCCACCTGGGGGCACCAGAGTTAGAAGGTAGGTGGAAGAGGAAAAGGAGTTGGGTTGGTGACATTCATAATAAATGTCACCTCGAATGTACCCAAGGCCACCTAGCCCTGGATTCTGTCTCTGAGAGCACTGAAGGACTGTTTATGGCAGGTATAACAATACCAACCTTGAAAGACTGATGTTCTTCAAGCATTCCAACTCTGCTCACATAGTATTACTAAACATTCATTCCACAAATGAGTATTTTGTTTCCTGTGAGCCAGATGCTGTTCTAGGCACTGGGGAGACATCAGTAAACACAATGGTGCTTACATTCTGGTATGTAGTTAATAAAAAAGATAAAAAAGCAAAATACATAGGATGAGAGGTGGTAATAGGTGTTTAGAGCTAACATAAAGCAGAAAGGAGAAAAGTGAGTGTTGGGACTATCTGGAGTAGTTTTGCAGTCTTAGAAAGGGTGGCCAGGGAAGGATCGTGAAGAAAGTGACATGTGAGTGAACATCTGAAGGTGGTGAAGAATGTTCCAGGAAAGGGGAACAACAAGGGCAAGGGCCCTAAGTTGAAGCGTGCTTGGAGTGTTTGAGGAACAGCCGGAAGCTAGTGTGACTGCAGTGTAGGAACTGAGGAGAGGAGAGGACCCGAAGTCAGAGTAGTATCAGGGATGGGGGAAGGGTGGGGCGGGACGCCATATAGGGCCTTTAGGGTATCATAAAGACTTTGGCTATGAATGAGATGGCATGGAAGAGACTGGCTATTTACCAAACTGTGTCCTCTTCACCCTGTGACTACAGCAGGACTACATTTCCCAACCTCCCTTGAAGTGTGGCCAGGCGACTGAGCTCTGGCCAATGGAAGAGAGGAGGAAATGATGTCTGCTACTTACAACACCGGCCATACAAATCTGCCACGTGTGATTCTTCAGGCTCTCCCTCATTCTGTGGCCACCCTAGAAGCCATGTAGCACAGATGGCAGAGTCAGAAGATGGAAGGAACCAAGGTTCCTGTTAAGAACCACTCACTGAACAGGAATTCCCTTTTCAGACTTTGTGAGTGACAAATGAACTTCTGTTGGTTATTTTATGCCACTGATATATTGAAGTTTATCTTTTACAGAGCTAGCATTACCCTAATACAGATGGGACGCCATTGAAAGGTTCTGAGTAGAGAAATGACATGATCTAAAATTTTAAAAGGGTCACATTAGACTGAAGAGATTGAGGCTAGAAGCAAGGAGTCCACTTAGAAGGCTTTTGCAACAATGTCGATGATGATTAAGATGGCTTGGTCCAGAGCGGTATCAGTGGAAATAGTGAGAAGAGTCAGATTCTGAATATATTTTGAAAGTAATTTAAAAGGATTTCCTAGTGGGTTGGAAATGGTGTGGAGAAAACAAGAGGAATCAAGGATAACTCCGAGGTTTTGAGCAACTAGAAAACCAGGATGGAGAAGATGTTAGGGGGAGAAAGTTTTGAGGGATCATATTGAGAGATTAGTTTTAGATATGTTGAGATGCCTATTAGACATTCAGATGGAGATGTCAAGTAGGCAGTTGGATATGTATCCCTGGAGTTCACAGAGGTCTGAATGAGAGGTAAAAATTGGGGAGTAATTGGTATTTATGTGGTGGGAAAGCCATGGGGTTGATTAGAAGAGACCCAAGGACTGAGTCTTGGAAATTTCTAATTTTCAGAGATGGTGGTGCGGGGTGCGGGGAGCAGAGGGAGTGTCGATGAGAATGAATCAGCAAAGGAAACTCAGAAGAAAAGCCAGTGGAGGAGGAGGAAAACCAGGAGAGTGTAGTGTTCTAGACTCCAAGTGAAGAGAGGGTTTCGAGGGGTAATCACATGTCACATGCCACTAACAGTGAAATGTTGGCCATCAGCTTGAGCACTGTTGGATCAGGTTTACTGGGGTAATGGGTGCAAAACCCTACTGGAGGAGTTCAAAAGAGAACGAGAAGCAAGAATTTGGAAACTCTTTCAAAGAATTTACTATAAAGGAGTGGAGAAAATGGAGCAGAGGGGGCAGAGGGGCCCAGAGAGGTTTTCTTTGATTTCGTTCTGTTTTTAGATGGAAGAAATAACAGTGCGTTTAGAAGAAACACCAGCTTGTTCATTGCCGGTGTGAAGATTCTAGGAGTGAGGACAAAATTGATGATGAAGGGCAAAGAAAGGAGAGTTGCTGGAGGAATGTCCTTGAGTAGACAAGATGGTATGAGATCCAGTACAAGAGGAAAAGTGTTGGACTTTGCTTCCAGTGGAGACAGTTCTTCTGTAGTAATGAGGAGAGAAGCTAGATCTGTAGGTCTGGTTCTGGGTAAATGATAGACGTGGTGAGTGCTTGGAGTTCTCTTTCGGTTGTTTCTATGTTCTCAGGGAGATGGGAAACTGAGTCATCAGAGGGCACTGATGTGAAGATGTGAAATGGCCATTCAGCAGAGAGAATGGATGAAGGAAACACAGGATGAACCCCCGGTACCATTAAGGAACCTCTTGAGGCTTGTGATTATGACTTTGAGGTGAGACTGGTTAGTATGTCATGTGGTTTTCTCCAGGAGAAAGCTCAGCAGCGTGGTACAGGCATAGAGTTGGTGGAGAGTTGGACGTAGACAAGTGAATAGAATGAAGTGAAAGAGACACAGAAGTGTTGACATGCTGTTGGGGGCGCATACTTAAGAATGGAGAGACACATGTAAACTTTCACGAGTGGCCGAACTCGGGTATAGATTTGAGGAAGGGACTATGCATAGCATTAATGTGTTTGGAGCTGGGTCCAGTTTACAGAATTTTGATACTGACTTTTTTTTTTTTAAAGGTGTTGAGGTGCATGCAAGGGCGTGATAATAATAATGATTCATCACGGAATCTAGGCTTGAGGGGAGGGAAATGAGGACGCGAGGAGACTGAGGGACAGTGAAAACCCAGGAGGAGCGATGTATGGTAGGACTGGTGGGGTCGAAGGGTTATTGGACTCGGGGGAATAGATAGGAGGCGGTATAGCTGGAGAACAGAAATAATGAGGTGGGGTACAGTTATTAATGACAAACTCTAGGGTAAGATCAGGAAGTCAGTGGCTGAGGAGGGTGGGGGATGGGACCATTGGGCAGCAATCAAGGAACACTGACCAGGGTACAGGAAGGGTCATCTATGTAGATTTAAAATCACCAAGAATTAGGACCTCATTCATCCTTGGAAGGCAAGACGGTGATCTAGGAGCTTACTTTTTATCTCTCCAACAATTTCCGTCTGAAAATTTTCAGTGAAGAAAAAGAACCTCTTAGGAAACCTTAAATCAAAACGAGACATCTGAAAACACTTTCCAATCAAAGACCGGGCAGCCTTTCTGAAATACTCACAGTCTGGTTTTTATTGAATGTGAAATATTGCACATTTTAAACAAAGAGGCTGGTCCATGGGCCACCTGAAAGACACTCCTTGGTGACTCTCTTGATCTATAATTTGTGAACCTCCGATTTTACCTGTGCTTTGAGCCTGTATCTCTTGTCTTGGAATTGATAATTTAATAAGCGCTAACAAGGTGTGTTGACATTTTAAGGGCTGTCATATGCAAAAGAAATTGAGCCAGTGTTTGTAGGGCTGAGACATTAGCAAACTTAGAAAGTTCGAACACGAAAGAGAAATATCCCCTGTCTCGCACACCTTGTCTGATCACCTCCTGCAAGGAACCTTTCTGAAGCCTCAAACCCAAACCTCCATTTGGAACAAGGCCAGGCTAGCGAGTCCAAGTTAGAGAATGGGTTAAGGAATTTAAAGGCCAAAACTTGAATGAGAAAAGAGGGACTAACAAAAAAATATATATTGGCAAAAAGGGAAATTTATAGAGAGGCCCTTGGCTGGAATTCATTTCCGGCCCCTCGTACTCATCCAGAGTAGTCTGAGCAGAGAAGAAAACAAATTTCTTTTTTGGTATATGGCCTTACTTTCAAGTTTTAAATTAGATAAATAGAAGCTGGGTGAGGCATCTCTCAGGTGTATTTCTTCTCTAGTCCTGTTCAGCTTCTCTCCCAAATCTCTTCTGTTTCCTTTTCTTACCACCTCTCTGTATCTCCCTTCTTCTCCAACTTCCTCTTCATCTCCATTTCGTTCTCTTCCACCTCTCCTCTGGTCCTGCTTCCCTTTCTTTCCTTCTCTCCATCTCTTGGTCCTGTCCCCTCTGAGAGCATATCTTCTTGTGCCTGCCCAGCAGGGGAAGGAAGGGGAGCTGTGATGATGTGTGGTGGAGAGATCATGAAGTTACGTGCTGGAATAACGCTGGAAGGATGCTTCTCATCCAGAAGCCATGCTCCCAAATGGTTCTCCAAGGAAAGCTATGCTATCGGCATGAGATGATTCTAGTGTGTCCTTAGTTGCAGCTTTCCCCTTCCCTTCATCCAGATGGCCCCTCAGAAAGCTTAATGTTGAAGGGTAGTATTGGTGAGGGCTGCTTAGATTCTCCCCAGTGTGAAAGGGTGGCTCAAATAGAATTTCCTGTTAGTGTAGGAGATGAAAATATTCAATAAGATATAACTTGCCTACAAAGCTCTTTTGTGGGCACATAGACACTTACTGTGAATTTTTAAATTGTCAACTATTAATAACAGATATTTTATAAGAGGTGGTGGTTTATTAATAATATTTCACTTCAGAAAACATAAAGCACTCTACCTTCTTTAGGGACTTATCTCTGGCCAGACAGGCACATAAGTAATAGTTAACGAATGTTTGTTAAATGAATACATGGATAGATGCGTGAACCTTGGAGCTTGGAGAGATAAGAGCTTGGCCCACTCCCCACTCCTGGCCTAGATCCCTCTTACTCTCTGAAGCAGAGAGTTGGGGCTCCCCAAAAGGTCTGGAAAGGAAAAGAGAGAGCCAGCTCCCCACCACCTCAAAGCAAGAGTCCACGGAAACTGCAGAGGCAGCCCTCATGACATCGCCCAGCAGGGAGAAAGCAGCTCTAGTGACACAGTGTCATCCTGATCTCTATTCCCTTCAGAGCCACTTTGCAGGAACACCTAGGGGCCTGTGGGGACTCACTCAGCTCAATTGGAGGCAGAGAAGACAGGGCAGGTAAAAAGAGCGCTGAGGCGGTGTGGCTGGTCCCCCCCCTCATTCCCACCCCATAGCTTCTGGGAGCACCCTCAGGACCCCAAGATCTAAATCCAGGCCTGAGGTCGAACTCCAGGCCTGTCCCATGGAGGCGGCCAGACCAATCCCGTGACTGTACCTACGAGTGGGGCCAGCTGCAGCCCCGTGGAGGCTGCCAGAGTGCTGAGGAGTGAGAGGGGCTGCGGCCCAGAGGGGTTCTCTCTTTCCCACTCTCCGTAGGTGAAGGAATTCCTCCAACTGAGGTCACGGGTGCACGGGATGCCGTCTTCACTGGGAGTATCTTTTGCTAGGACAAAAAGGGAATACATTTGTTTATACTTGAATTCGCAGAGCATGCTCATGGATTACAGTCAACATTTGTGGGGTGCTTATTATGGGCCACGCACTGTTCCAAACAATTATGTGCATTAATGCTCGTTTAATCCTCACAATGATCCCGAGAGGTCAGTGTTGCCATAGTCCCCATGTTAAAGATGAGGAATCTGAGACCCAGCGAGGTTAAGTAACTTACCCATGGTCACAGAATGAAAAGGCAGAGATAAGATTCAAAGCCAGGCAGCCTGGCTCCAGAGCCCATGTTTTTACCACTACGTTGCGTGAACAAGACAGTGCCAATAAAAGGAGGGAACCAACCTGACTTGGCGAGGTTAACTGAGTGAATTTGCCCCCAAGAGATTCAGCTAGCTGAACTGGCTATGGCCTTGAACCCAGATGGCCTTAAGCCAGAGCCTGCTCTTGATCCACTTGGCTTCAGCTACTCAAAGGGTGGTTTGCAGCCCAGCAGGTTTGGCATCACCAGGGAGCATGTTAGAAATACACAGTTTTAGGTCCACTCAGATCCACTGAATCAGAATCTATATTTTAACATGACCCTCAGGGGACTGTCTGCACGTACATTCAAGTTTGGGAAGTACTGCAATAGGCCACACCACCTGCTGACAGGCAGATGGAAGGTTTAGCCACACAGGCAAGCTTTGGGATGCTGGTTTTCCCAAATGTAGCTCTCCCTCTCTCTTTTCATCCAAAAGTTCCAAGAGGCCGAGGTGTGACCGTCCTTCCAAACTGGAAGGGCACACTACTTGGCCCAAAGAGAAAAGAGGGCTTTCTTCAGCTCTAAGGAAAGGAAGCATCCTGAGGACATTCCAGGATGATTAATTGAAATCAGCCAAGGGACATCTTGGGAGTGGTAGTTCTTGTGATATCCTGGGCCCCTGAAATTCTAGCTGTTCTCTCAAGTCTCAGAAACATTCTCTACTTCTGTATTCCTCAACCCTAACCTCACGGGGTATGGTGTGTGTGCGTGTGCGTATGTGTGTGTGTGTGCGCGTGCGCACACACGCGCCATTGAATGTATGTGTAAAGACAGGACTGAATCACCATCATATTTCAGTCACACAACATGAGAAAGCATTTGTAGACTTGGAAAAAGTGTGGGCCAGCATCGGCTCCACTCACCATTTAGAACGGGGCTATGAACTATCTATCAGCCTTCAGGCTGAATTTGGCCTACATGTAGATAAATATGTTATGTTTGCCCACTAACTGGGCCTATACTGTGCTTTAATTTTTTATGGGTGGGGAATATATAGCATAAAAATACAGAATTTTGGCTTCTCTTGAAAAATTAGAGTATCGGGCAACAGTATGGAAACAATTAATTGAAGCCTGAATTGAAACCTCACTGTCTCATTGCCACTGTCCCCACCACTGCCTATTGTCTCTTCAATGCTGAAACCAAGTATCAGTCCAGTTGTTTGTTTGTTTGTTTGTTTGTTTTACTTATAATAGAGTTGAGAGAAAAGCCAACCATCTCTTATATCCATCTCTTATACTTAAGACTCTTTATTCATTTGTGCCTCTTGTAGACATCTGAGTTTATAATCTCTGGTTTGGACGGAAGTTGGCAGAGCTCCCCTGGGATCTACACACTCCTTTAAATTTCTAAATATAACATGATATTCTGGCTGCCTCCTGAGCCAATTTGGAGGAATAATTTATTAGTGGCATGGTGCACAGATATTTACTGAGCTCCTATTGTGTCCCCAGCCTGGTGCTTGCCACTGTGGATAATTAAGAGTCATAAAAAAAAAAAAATAGTATTGGTTGAAGAAACGAGATTAAAATCTATGAAACAATTAGAGAATAATGTAAGAGAGGTTATGACCAAAGAAAGATTCATCTGGGCAGGAAGGTGTTTGATTATATGGAAAGATCAGTAGGATTTAGAGTGCACCATCATGGGGAGGGTGCAGAGGGGGAATAAGTCATGGGGAAGGATAGCTAAGGTGTGATAGAGCAGAAGATTTGGGCTTGAGAAGGCGATGAGGCAGAGGCCTCTTTTTGAGGAGGAAAAAGTAATCAGGCAAGATGGATAAGGGAGGGGAAGTTAATGTAATGTAGAGTCATGCATGCCAAAACGGGTGGATTCGGGGTAAACTAGAACTGGAAATAAACAGAGGACTGGCTGCTGTTTTCAGAATGTGTCATGTTCTCTCACACAGACTCTGTCTCTTCCCAGAATGCCCTGCCTCATCTTCTTTGACCAGCCCACTTGTCCTCATCCTCTATGACCCAGCCCTCCAAGACAGCTTCCTGGGAAGAGTGAGGCACCTCCATCTTTGTGCCCCTAAGTCACCCCAGGCGTGGGCTTTTGAATGCTGCCTGGAAGTAGAGGTTATATAATTTGGGGATTTAGCTATCTGATTCTGCTAAGTTATAAACCCCTTGAAGTGGGTACTATGTCTTTCTTCATTGGGACTCCAAAGCCTTCGACAGTGTTTGGCACTTACCAAGTGCTCAGTGCATGTTTCTGAATGAGCGAATGAATGAATGAATTAGAAGATTGCTGCAGTCGTCCAGGCAAGAGGTGATAAGGTGGACTAGGGTAGGGTCTGTGGGGGCAGAAATGAAGTAAAGATATAGGAAACATTTCAAAGAAAAATTGATAGGATTCGGTGCCAAATTGACTATGGGTGCCAAAGAGCCTAGAGGAACTCACACTAAGCTATGAAAAGACATCGTGACAGCTCTAGTAAAGTTGGGATGGAGAGCTGGAGGGGGTTTTATTCGCACATCTGCAGAGCAGAGAGTTCTCGGAAAAACGGGTGACCTGTGCCCTCCATTACCTGAGATGTTCTTTTTGGTCTCCATCTTTTTGCTGCTCCTGGAACTCCAGCCATTTCAGAATCAAGGAAATGAAGGTCAAAAGGAAAAAAATAGAGCATGAAATTCTCATTTTAAATCTTGTTGCTAGTTATATTTTTCCTGACGCAAAAGCTTTAGAGACAGATATAAATCTGAAAGAGGCCAGCTGTGGCTATATTGGGTGGGTGACACATATTAAAGTACCAGAAGGAAAAATAGGGGAGGGGAAGTGGGGCTGGGGAGGAGGGTGAGGAGCAGAAACCAAGATGCTGATTTTGCTGAAGAGGACTGGGTAAGACTCCATCTGTTTGGTCCTGCCTCTCAGCCATTTATTTTATTTGCTGTAAGTTGCACATTGTTGCCAATGTGCGAAAACTGATGTAATTGCAACCAGAGCCTGCCTGGATGAAGAGAAAAGTCATCACATAGGGCTTCGTTCTGGAGAATCAAACAGAAGAAACTAAATGTCTCTACAAAGCAATTACTGAGATAACAGCAAAGCACAAATTATTATTATTTTTGTTTCTTACATCCCTCTGATCTGCTTTGTACGGGAGAACCAGACTAGGTTGCCATAGCTTCCTGGCTGGTCTCACCACACCTACTCTCCCCCTCTTCAAATCAACTGTCAATGCGACAGCCAGCATGACCTTTTCAACATGTAAATTGGATCACATCGCTTCCCAGTTTGAAAGGTGATAAGGCTCCATTAAAGTCTAAATTCATTTGCATGGCTTCCCAGGCCCTGACTGGCTCTATCCCTGCTCATTTCAATTTATGGCCTCTTACCACCACCTCACTTCCTTCTTTTTCTCTAAACCCACCACGCTTATTCCACAGGATGAAGCCTCAGTCTTACATTCATTCGTTCTCTTAATCTGCACAATTTTCTATACCCTTTTACCTTTGGGTTTTAGTCTCTGACCTTCTGGAAATATTAAAAGCTGTCAGTGCCAGAGATTGCCATAGGCCCTCAGTATCCCTTCATCCCTTCTCCTTCGGAGGCAGAACATCTATTTCTATGTCGGGCACCATGGCTCTGCACTATAGAGAATGCATTTCCCAGCCTCCCTTGCAGCTGAGTGTGGTCATGTGACTGAGTTGTGGCCAATGAACATAAACAGAAGCTGTTCTTCAAATAGTAATTTTAAAAACTTAAATTTTTTAACATTTTGAAACAAAAAGTTGCTTCAACATTTCTTGCTCTATTAGAGTCTAACATTCTTCCAACTCAGCAATATGACAGTTTACTCAGAAATTTCTTAATTACAGATATGTAGAGTGACAATCCCCCTATAAATTCTTTAACAGCAGGCAACTAACAAGTTTTTTTCTTGTGTCAATACTTTGGTACTTCCAGCCCAAGGTAGACTTAATAATACAAGTTAATACTTATTGAGAGTTGACTTATATCTGCCTCTAAATATTTTGAAGGGCATATCAAGTACTTCATGGATTTGAGCTCATTTAGTCCTGAAAATAACGGGATAAGGTTGGAACTATCATAATTTCCATTGTACAGATCTGAAAACTGAGGCCCAGAAGAGTTAATCAATGTGCCCATGGGCTCATAGTTGAAGCAGTGACTTGGACCCAGTCCTGTGTGAATGCTTACCCACTGTGAGAGACTGCCTCCTTTGACTCTACTGGTGATAAGTTTATTCAGAGAGACACCTTTCTTTTTGTTGTACTATCTCTGAGCTGCTGGTCCCTGTTGTGACAAAAATCTCTCTGACACCTCATTTTACAGTTCCGGTGATGTTTATTAACTTATTTCTGTTCCTCCTTTTCTTTTAAACCACAAATTGAGTTCACTAGGACCCTGGGTACCACTTAATCTTTGCTCTCTGGTTGTGGTGCCCAGAGGTCTAAGTACTCTCAACTCCTGTCTCCCTCAGACCAAGCAGTTTTAAGACTCAAACCCTAAGTCAGAGTCTATATGTACAAGGACATTTCCTCAGGCATGAAGATAGGCCTGTACAATGGAGCTTTCCAGAATAGACTGTTCATTGAGAAAATTATCACAGACACTCCATAAAGTTCAAGTAGAGGCCAGGTGAGTAGGTGAAGGAATCTAGTGAGTAGACAATGTTTTAAACAATGTTTTGGTTACTTCTAGTAGGACTAGGAACTGGATTAGAAACTAGGTTTTACTTTTCCACCTGTTACTAACTGAATATTGGAGAGTTACTTTTCGTCTTTTACAAAATGTCTCCTCTAGAGTCAAGCCCACTATGCTTGCTATGTGGAAAAGGAGAATAAAGCAAAGAGAACCAGAAAAGGTTGCCCTAAGTCAAGGGTGAGCCCCGATACTGAGTGGCAGTATTTCATACCCCTCCCTGAGCTTGTTAACCAAGTTACTTGGTTTTTGGATTTCACGGCCCAGACCATCTGGACCGCAGAAAGGGATGTCAGGCTGGCCTGATTTAAGTCATATACCTGAATTTATGACTGAACTGGTTGTGCTGGTGCAAATCGGCAAAAATCTGAGAGAGGGCCTCACTCTCCCCCTTGGCCATCAGCTGCATGAGGCTCTCGCTCGGCTGGGAGGCTTGGAGCTTCTTCTGTACTAACTAGATGGAAAAAACAAGCAAAGCCAGCTGGTTAAGGCCTAGGGTCTCTGCATTTTCCTAATATTGTGGTCCAGATCTTAAAGCGTTAAAACTGAAACTGCTCCATTGGGCAGCCATGTCAGCTGCTCAGAGAGGCAATGCTAAAGCCATATCTGTTTGTTTATGCCCCCTGTATTGTTATAAATATCCTTTGGTGCCCTAAGGATAACATTTGTCATTGACTACTTTAGACATAATTTAATAGATAACCTATTCTTATTAACATATTTTAATGTTATTGAATAGCTTATTCATATAAACCTTAATAAAGCTTATGCTACTTGGTTTTATTTTTAAATGTAGGGGCATCAAATATTTATTGTAGAATAAATATAAATGTTTAAAAAATAGAATAAGAATGTTTTAAAAGTTAATTTATCTAAGAGAAATCCTATATTAAATTGCTTTTTACACTTAGGTAAAATTGCTTTTTTCCCTATCACTTGTGATAGCCCCAAGGTGTTCCAGCTGTGCAAGCTGCTCATATTCATTTAGTCAATCATTTATTTAATATTTATCAAATGTAAACTATATGCTATGCACTGGGGATATAGCAGTGAAGAAGACAGATTAAGAATTCCTGCTTTCTTAGAGTTTATGTTGTAGCTCATCAGTTTTACGTCACACTCTAAGGCCTGGGGCAAAATGGCCCAGGTAGATTCACTGGTGAATTCTATCAAATATTAAAAGAAGTAGTTATACCAATTCTTCACAAACTCAGAAAATAAAGCAGGAGGGAACACTTCTCAAATCATTCAACGAGGCTAGTATTACCCTATTACTAAAGCTAGAATATCACAAGAAAACTACAGACCAATATTTCTAATGAACATGGATGCAAAACCCTTAATAAAATGCTAGAAAACCAAATCTTGTAACATGTAAAAGGGATTATAAATGCACGCCATAACCAAGTGAAATTTATTACAGGAACACAAGATTGATTTAACATCTAAAAAATCAATTAATGTAATACAGTATATCAATAACATAAAGAACAAACCACATGATCATCTCAATAAATTCAGAAAAAAAACATTTGACAGAATCCAATAGCCATTCATGATAAAAACTCTCAAACAAGGAATAGAAGGGAACTTCCTCAACCTGACGAAAATTCCACAGTTAGCATTATACTTAATGAAAGACAAAGTTTTTCCCCTAAGATTGGGAATAAGACAAGATGTCTGCTTTTGTCACTTCTATTAAACATTGTACTGAAGGTTGTAGCGAAGACAATAAGCAATAAACAAAGGGATCTGAACTGGAAATGAAATAAAACTGTCTTTATTTGCAGATGACATGTATGTATGTATGTATGTATGTATGTATGTATGCATGCATGCATGTATGTATGTAAACCCAGGGAATCCACAAAAACTATTATATCTAATGAACAAGATTAATACACAAAAATCAATTGTATTTCTATATACTATCAATCAATAAATGGTGCAAACATAAAATTAAGAAAACATAATTCTATCCACAATAGTATTAACAGCAATAAAATACTTAGGAATAAATTTAACAAAAGAAGTGAAGAACTGGTACACTGAAAGTGACAAAAACATTGCTAATAGAAATTAAAGAAGATTGAAATGAGTGCAAAGACATTCCATATTCATGTACTGGAAGGCTCATTATCATCAAGATGGGAATTCTCCCCAAATTGATGTACAAATTCAACAGGTCCTTATCAAAATTCCAGCAGGCTATTTTATAGAAATTGACAAATTGACCCTAAAATTTATATGAAAATGCAAAGAACATAGAATAGCCAAATAATTTGAAAAAGGACAAAATTGGAAGACCTACATCACCCAATTTCAAAACTTACTATAAACCTACGTTAATCAAAACATTGTGGTATTTGTACAAGACCTGGCAAATAGAATGGAACAGAATTGAGAATCCAGAAATAAATCCTTACATTTATGGTCAGTTAATTTTTGACAAAGGTGTTCAAGACAATTCAATGAGGAAAAGGATAGTTTTTTTCAACAAATGGTGCCAGGACAATTGTACATCCACTTGAAAAAGAAAAAAAAATTAGACCTTTATCTCACACCATACACAAATATTAACTCAAAATGTATTGTAGACCTAAATAGAAGAGCTAAATCTATAAAAATCCTAGAAGAAAATATGGGATAAAACCTTTGTGACTTTGGGTTGAACAAAAAGAGTTCTTAAATACAACACCAAAAGCCTGATCAGTAAAAGAAAAAATTGATGTTGCACTTCATCGAAGTTAAAAATCTTTTGATCCTCAAAAAACATCATTAAGAAAATGAAAATACAATTCACAGACTAGAAGAAAATACTTGCAAATCATTTATCTGATAAGGGACTTGTATCCAGAATATACAAAAACTCTTACATCTTAATAAAAAGACAAAACCCAACTTAAAAATAGGCAAAAGATTTAAATAGACATTTAACCAAAGAAGATATATAAATGACTAATAAGCCCATGAAACGTTTCTCAACATCATTAACCATCCAGGAAATTCAAATTAAAACCACTACACAGCCACTAGAATGTCTTTAATCTAAAAGATAGACAATATCGGTGTTGGTGAGGACGTGGAGAAACTGAAACATTCATGCATTGCTGGTGGGAATATAAAATGGTGCAGTCACTTTGGAAAACAAAAATTTTTAAAGTTAAACATAAACTTACCATATGACCCAGCAATTTTATTCCTTGGAATCTCCCCAAGACAAATAAAAACATGTGTCTACACAAAAACTTGTATGTACACAAGTGTTCATGGCAACATTATTCAAAAAAAGCCAAAAAACTGGAAACAATCCAAATATCTATCAACTGGATAAACAAAGTGGAGCATATCTATACAATGGAATACTGTTCATCAATTAAAAGAAATGAATTATTGATAGTCTGTGACTCTGCCACCGAGTTGGCCCCATGCTTCGATATGGATGAACCCAAAAAACAATAGGCCGAGTGAAAAAAGCCAGATACAAAAAACTATACATATTGTAAAATTCCATTTATATAAAATGTCTAATATGAGCTTACAGAAACTGAAAACAGATCAATGGCTGCCTAGGGCGAGAAGGAAGAACTGAGAATGAGTGCAAATGGGCACCAGGGAATTTTTCAGGGTGATGGAAATGTTCTAAAACTAGATTGTGGTGATGGTAGCACAAGTCTATGCATTTACTGAAAGTGTTGAACTGTACACAGTGGGTGAATTGTAAATTATACCTCAATAAAGCTGATCGGAAAAGGCTGAAGGCAGGGATTGCCTTCACAGGGTGCGCACATACCAGCTCACCTACGCCCTACAGCTCAGCTCTGACCTTGTCTGGAGGCAGCAATGGTGCCAACTTACCTTAGAGTCTCCAGAGGGGCTGCAGGTGTTCTTGGGTACCAGACAGTGAGTGACAAGAATCCGAGGGTCTTTGGTGGTGATGGACAGGCCCTTCTGCAGAATTTGAACTAGTCGGATCCAGAAGTGGAAGACGGTCTCAGGATGGTCAGGGTGGAGCCTTAGATAGTAGATCTTCTCAGTGACCGTTCTCAACCGCAGGATGCGTTGAAGGCGGTCATAGACCTGGAGCTCCACGAACTTCAATGGGAGAATCCTGAAGGCACAAGGGAAGACACACACCGACAACCCCATTGCTTCTGATCCAACCCTATCTTCATTAAAACGAGGAGTGTCTCCTTCAGGACTGAGGCTTTGGGGAGATGGAGAGAGAATGCTTAGCAGAGTGGGAGATCAGAATCACCTGGAGAGCTTGTTTAAAATGCAGACCCTCTAAAACTCAGATTCAGTAAGTCTGGGCTGTGTCCTGGAGTCTGCATTTTAACCTCCACCCATCTTGCCATGATTTTCATGATGGTGTCCCATGATCCTGCTTGAAAGAGGCAGCCTAGGAGTTAGGTTGCTGGGGTCATAGGGTTTTCAATTTCCTTCTTGATAGCACAAGGAGAGCTATTCTTCTCTGCCACAGAGTTGGCCCCACTGTCCAGCTTGTCCATTCATTGACACTATTGCCTCGATTACTCTTCCCAAAGGAGCTAAGGTTCAGGAAGCTGGCTTTGGGCCAAATAGTAGTCAGCTGGGGCTGGGCTGTACTTGCCGTGGGTACACCAGAACACAATAGAGAGTTTTATCATTGAAGCAACATGAAGAAATGAAGGGTTTCCTTGGACTTCTGGGAATATCTACAAACTCTTGAATACCCTACAGATTACTTAAAGAGGCTCAAACGTCAAAAGGGACTGTTTCATCCCGGACAAGCATGATGTCACTATGTTACAGTTCTAAGTGACACTTAGTTCCATTCATTTTACCAGTAGGGAAACTAGGATGCAGGAAGTAACTAAACATTATTTGAGCCTAGTTAGTTGCATACCAAAGACTAGAACCTCAGCTCCATCTGCCAGATCTCACTGCTTTCTTGCCCCTGTGCCAGAGGCAGAGAGATTTCCTAAGAATTCAGTGGGATGAGTGCAGCAAGAAGGAAAGTGAACATGTAGACTGGTTCCTTAGTCCTGTCTACACAATTCCTCCCTTTACCGCACCTCACCTAGATGCTTCCAGTGTGGCCACAGTCTTGGGCTACTGTTGCTTAAAAAATTTAATATCACTGCTAATGACTTCTCTGCTTTCTCTCTCCTTGAGTTTAGTCACAAAGCAGCCTTGGCTTTGGGTCTACCCTCCCCCCTCCACCTGTCCTTGTTCCCATCGATGTTGCTTACCTCTTCAGGATGATGTTTGGGGCTGTAGATGGTCTGTTCCATGTCTGGCTCTGCCCCTGGTGCCATTTGACCCTGGCCATGAGGAGGATGTTGGGAAGGGGCAGGCAGGGCACGGAGGAGGTCACTCCGAGGGCCATGGTGTTGGAGGCTTTGTAGATGTCGATCCAGTCCTTGCCCTTTTTGACCTGCAAAGCAGCCCCGTGGGCACAGCCTGAGCATTTGGCAGAAGCACCAGTATGTTTCAGCTGAAAGTTTCTCAACCTCAGCAATATTCACATTACCGGCAGGATAATTTTTTGGCAAGAGCGCTGTGGGATGTTTAGCAGCATCTTTGGCCTCTACCCACTACATGCCCCACCCCCACCCCCCACCAAGACAGTCAAAAATGTCTCCGGACACTGCCAAATGTCCCCTGGTTTTGGAAGGCAAAATAATGGCTGCTGAGAACCACTGTTTTAACCTGTATAGGTTAAACAACTGTAATAGTATTTAAACTACTTACTATTAGCAATTGCCCACAAGAACTATAAACCAGGAGTTCCCTGACACATGACCCATCTCTGTGAATCCTCCCCAGACTGTTCCCTGGCTTTTCTTTGAAAAAATTGGCCTTTGGCCCTTCTCTGAGGGACCCTGTAATCTCCTGCACCTTCCCTGTGCTGCAAGCTCCCTTGCAACTCCCAAGTTCTGTTTATTCTGGGATCCATCTGATGGCAATGAGAGCCCAGGAAGGGAAACGAAAATGCACTGAGCACCTGCTATACTAAGGCCTTAGCCTCCCGTGTCTGAATGTAATCCTCAGGTCATTCCCACCCCTTTTACAACAGTGGATTCACTTGCCACCTGCTGAGAAAGCAGTGGACTCTGAGCCCAGGTCTCTCTGGGTACCCAGATCCTGTTCTCTCACCAATCAGCTTTTCTGTTCCAAAACCCTCAAATTGCCTCTTTGTTAATCTGCTTTGGGCCGACAGCCTGGAGGAGGAAGTAAATTGAGAGATTCGAATAACAATCCTCCACTCAGAGCAGAGAACACTTGACCTCTCTCCCTGTCTACAGAAGCAGCCCTGGAGCTCTGCAGTCGGTGTCAGAGGAGGGTGGCCTTGCATTCCAGGCCCACTGACTTCTCCTTGCCTCAGTTCTCACTCCACTCCAGTCCCAGGGATAGGCTCTTCTGGTCACGCTTTGGGAACAGGTTCAAAAGAATCAAGGAGTGCCATTCTGAGTGACCCCAGAGTACCTGGACAAAGTTGCTTTCAAAAACCACTGAGTCAGGAAACAGGTTGAATTCTGCAGAATGAACCATTTGGCAGAGCAATCCCTCCTCTACACCCAGGCCCACTCCAGGGTTTGGTTCCCCATCCACAGGCAAGAGGCCCCTGAATTCTTCCCAGGCATTCAGGGAAGGAAAGGTTGGATAGGATCTTGTGACTTTTACTGTCTTCTTCGATTTCCGCCAAGTCTTTCTATGTGGAACTGATGACATTTCCGTACATGCTCAGGGGCCTGCTGCACATTTGTCCTGGGATCTCTCTCTGCTCTCCTGGCATTGGGCAGCTGGCCAAGGTCTGGGACCGCCAATCAGCTCACAATGATGAATGGATGACATCATGAAAAATCAGGGCAGGCCTGTGGGAAGGGAAATGCAGAGGGAGCCCCCGCTTTTCCTCCAGAGTGCTTTGCTGGTGTGTTTCTGCCCTGACATTCTCCAGCCCTTCTAGTGACCCAGAGAAACAGCTCCCCCAGAACTTGCCAAGAAGTTCGTGAGCCAGGCAGAAAGCAAGGAAGGAAGGCTGTTGGGACGCTCCTTCCGCTGCCAAGAGGAAATACCCTCCCTGCCTTTCAATCCTCCCTTATTCTTAATGCAGCCCGCCCACCACCACCATCACAGAGTTTTAAGGGCTGTTTATTTAAAACCCAACCTCCGAACACTTTGCACTACGTAGGCTCCCCCC